TTAACCACCCTTCATCCATCCATTCAGCCAACATTTTTTTATTTTAAAGAGAGAAAAACAATAACAAAATAACAACAAAGGCAAAAACAAGACAATAAAGATGATGCAGAATTTCTAAACAAGATAATAAGAAATTAACAGTGGTTGTTATATTACATATTGTTATCTTCAACGAAGTTGCTCAGATTACCAGGTGTAAGAATGCAAGATTGATCAAACAGTTACTTTCAGCCAACATCTATGAAGATTCTTCTGCATGATACTCATTGCCAATCCTGTCATGGTTCCCTTTTGGTAGACCCACTCAGTATAACCTCCAGAGTGGTGGTTGGGTAAAACCCAAAGGATACCCACTTTTTTCCACACCCCACTGGATATGGCCCCCTCCTCCCTTCTTTGCCACATCTTTTCTCTGCCTTCTGTCTCTCTCCTACCAGCTCCCACACCTTCTTCAAATGAAGAAGGTGCTTGGGGAATTGACCCACATCTCTATCAATTCTACCTCTCAGTGAGTCCCATGTGTGCTTATTTCTATAGGGGGGCAATGGAAAGCCAGATTACATAAGCCTGGGATTTTTGTATGTTTAGGCTGCTATAAAAGAGTATCATAAGAAGGGTCACTTATAAGCAACAGAAATTTATTCATAGATTTGGATTCTGGGAAATCCAGGGTGAAAATCCTGGCAGATCTGGTGAGTAGTGAGCACTTGCTCTCTGGCTCATAAATGGTACATCCTCACAGTGTCCTTACTTGGTAGAAGGGACAAACAATAGTCCTCATAATCTTATCATATCCTAAACACTCTACCTCTTCCTACCATCATGTTAGAGCATGTGTTTCCACCTACACATTTTGGAAAGGGGTCCAGGTTTTAGAGACTGTAGCACCCTAAGTTCCCCAGTATCAGTCAACTACTGAAAATGTCTCTACTTATTACCCCCCTAGATTGACTGTCATGTATCATTAACATTTAAAAAAACTGACTCACTCATCTATTTCTGTTTAGAGAGGTCACTGGCTCTATTTTTTTGAGAAGCAAGACAGGGTATGTCCATTAGCTCTGGAGTCAGGCCTTTTGGGGGCTGTTCAGGAGAGAGCCAGGTGGGTATTGAGTGGCCTTTCTCATGAAGTTTGCTGCAATTTCACTGAGTCTGAAGACACCATGAAGGCTGTGCTTACATAATCATTATAGATCTGCAAAGAGGTTTTCTACAAGATCTGTCTTGGAAGTGGGATCAGGGTTCAGAAGGTCCACATATGTCCAGTGGAAGAGATTTCAGTTCTCTAGTTCCCTGAGTGTCTCTCCATCCAGGGAACTGCCTTTGCAATCTCCTGACTCTCTGACTGTCTCCCACCCTTCTTCTCATCTTGTGACTAATTTTCTTTCTCACTTCATTGTTATCTCTAAATTTTGTTTGGCTCCTCCAATAAAACCTGTTGGATATATTTGCCTCTTTGTACAAAGGTACCAATTTGTCTGTTTCTTTGTTCCCCAAAGTATTTTCTCTCTGTTGTTAAAAAACTGTGCCCTTTGTCCCATACCCAGAAACACCTCTCTCCAAATTCATCTCCTTTGACCCACTTGCACTCCTTAAACTGATTTGGGGTTAAAAAATGTAGACGCCCGCATTACTCATGCTAGGTTCCAGGTGGCAAACGAGGACATTAAGCCTGGCCTGAGGCACATAGCAGAGGTAGAGAACTTGACTGACACTTAATACTTCCTCTGTTTCCAGAAACAGTTATTCAGCACTTGCTGCAAACATGGTTCTGTACGGTTTTTAGCTCTACGTGTGTGTACAGCACTTCTGTAGTGACTGTTTAATTGTGTCAACTTGAGAAGTTTAGAAACTTAACTAAATCAGCTCATCAATTCTAAACCCTAAGGGGTAGAGGACACACCCTAGGGCAGATTGTTGCCTGAATGGTATAAAAGGGAAATAAGGAAGGATGGATGAGCATGCCTCTGTCCTTTGGAGGAACTCCTGTCTTTGCCTTCAGCTTGGACATTTTCTCTGAGCTTCCAGTGCAGACTCTTTGGTTTCCAGCTTGGAACCTTCAGCCTTCCAAGGTAGACTCATCAGCCTTTGGTCACAGACTCATCAGCCTCCATATATGGACTTGTATGGAACACTGCAGTGAGCTCCAGACCTTGGACTGAAACTTTCCATCTCCAATGTGCAGACACCCTCTGCACACTTCCTCATCCAACTGTGTGGCTGACCATCATAAGCCAATCTTGTAATTTCTTATACATTTGTGTATCTTGTGTTATATCTGTTTCTCTAGTAAAACCATGAGTGATATACCTCCAGCCTGGATTCCTGAATATTTTTACCGATTATTTTTAGATTTTCATAATCTTATTTTTAAGAGTGTTGTTTTTGACCAATTTGTATATGACCGTGTTCACCTATTTTAGCTGCATAGTTTGGTAAGTTTGAGTAAATGCATGAGGCATCCAATCACCAGCACATCACATTCAAAATGTTTTTTCACTCCAAGAACTTTGCTCACAACCTTGTATAGTCATCACTGCCCTCCACCCTGCTCACTGGCAACCTCCTAACTGCTTTCTGTTGCTATACTTTGTTCGTTCTCTAGTATCACATAAAAAGGAGTCCTTTGTGACTGGCTCTGTCACTTAGCATTAAGTTTTGAGATTCAAGCTGAACTTCATTGCTTCTTTTGTAGAGTGACATTCTGTGTAGGGAGACATCGTACATGCCCCCTCCCCAGGTGATGCACATCTCAGTGACTTCCATGCTTGGCTATTTTTAATAAAGCTGTTCTGAACACTTTCAGACATGTCTTCATGAGGATACATGCTCTCATTTCCTTTGGGTAAAGAGCTGAGAAGAAAATTGCTGAGTCATGTGATAGTGTGTGTTTACCTTTTCAAGAAAATGCCCAAGTCTCTTCCACAACGACTGCATCATTTTGCATCTCACCAGCCATACATGACGAGGCCAGTTGCTTCACATTCTCACCAACACTCGGACCTAGGGGTCTTAAATCTGATTCTATTGAATTGATGTGTAATGGTTCTCATTGCTGATGTTTTGCTGGTTTTGTATATATATATATACATTTTAAAACACCCTTCTCTACACACATAGTCATATTATTAAGACATGTCTTCATTCTGCACTTTTACATGTGCCATCACTGATGCCTTGGTAAATTGATACAAATTTACAGAGTACATGGGAACCTTCACCCCACCATGGTGAACAGCAGACCCCAGATTAGGAAGAAGCATTGTGTGGTCCTTTATCATCAAGGAGAAAGGACACTGAGCTGAAAGGAGCTAGAGTACTCTCAGGACCCACAGTTCAGGTGTCAATTTGGCAAACAGAACTAAGGGTAGAGACAGCATCTGCCCAGACGTGGACCAGGACCATGGCTTGTACCAGTGGGAGGTGGATGCGAGATATTGAATCAATAACTGGTCTTGCTGAGTTGGTAGAGGTCAAGAAACCCTTTCTGCTGCTCTGTGCTGATTACTTCAACTTACCTAGAATACAGTTACTCCTAGAAAGTGCCAGGAAAAGATTCTTGGGATACTAGGCTGTAGGAGTCCAAACCTATTGTGGATTGTATGAAGAGGCTATGATCAGTTATCAGTGAAGCACTAGAGGCCACCTGAGGTTGAGCCCAAAACACTTTCTGTAGTAAGTAGCTGAACTGGTACTGTTGTCTCCTGCTGAGGACATAGCAGGCCTCTCCTGGGCCTATGGGACCACTGGGAAGACAGGCCCAAATCTAGGAGATTCAAAGAAGAAAAGAAAATGACAATCTTTCTAGGAACAAGCAGGTACTGTTTGTTGGGAGCAGCTAAAGGTGGAAATTGTTCATATGTGTGAGGTCAGGACAGAGCCAGAGTTCCTCAAGCAGTCAAGCTACCTCAGTCTTGAGAAAAATATCCTGCCTGGACAATTTCAGTCATTAGCTGCTAGGCAACATTCCCTCTCATGATACTGACTGCAAGAGTATAACTAAACACCTCTACTGTTGTTGTGTGGGTCCTCTTGCTTATCAGCTAAGAGGTCACCTTCACCTGACCCCAGCTTTTGTCTCTTGTCTTTATTTTCTAAATCCCCTCACCATTTTCTCCTGGGGACCACCAAGAGACCACCACATCCTACAACTGTTAAATGTTTGTCAAGTGGTAAATTATTGCACATATTTACAGAAGTGGGTCACAGGGCAGGAGTAGGGTGAACAGGGGTATAATGGTTGATTGATTGTGTCAACTCAAGAAGTTTAGAAGCTTAACTAAATTGGCTCAGCAATTCTACATCCTAAGGTGTAAAATACTCTAAGCAACTTGTTACTCTTGCACTATATCTGTTTCTCTAGTAAAACCCTGACTGATACAAGGGGCTGTGTCTTTATGAAGTGCCCCAGTTTCCACTGTGTTCCAATAAAGTAGCCACAACGGAGTAGGGAAGAGCCCGTGGAGACCCTCACACCAGGACTATATAGGGATGAGGGACCTTGAAGAGGACCCAGTCAATTATGAGTCCAAAAGGCAAGGAGGAGCTTTCAGGATGAAGGGTACAGTCATTCTTCACTGCCTTTGCTCAAACTATTCCCTTCAGCCTGATCAAAGGTCTCCTTGCACCTCCTGTGGGGATCCTTCCTCCTGCACCTCCTCAGAGAAGTCCTCCCAGGTCCTCCAATTACAGCTTTCTGCTCCCTCCTCTCTGCCCCCAATGCCTCATTGGGCCTGTGACTGCAAGGACAGTGGGCAGAGACTCCAGGCTTGAGGAGAGGGCTCCTGATATCTCACGGGGACTGCAGAAATCACTCAGTGCATTGGGGGGAAGCCAAAAAGAGCCAGGCAGGGAGAGAGGTGGCCATGCCCCACCTGCTGGCCACTGGCTACCAGCAACCTCTGCTGCTCACTGTGGCTCTCCTGCAGCATTTACTTTTTAGGGCCCCACCCAGGTCCTGCCTAGGTCCAAATTCCAGCTTGGGGGAGGACCTGCTCCTGAGCTGCCTGTACTAAAACATAGAGTGCTGGCAGCAGAGCAGAAAGAGGCCTGTGAGCTGACCATGACCATGGGGCTGGACCAGTTTCGTGCACAGCTGAACACCGTGGCCTGTGGGCTCCTGCTTCTCCTTGTCCATGGCTGGGGTGAGGCTCCCACAGGGGCAGGGTAACAAGGATTGGGGTTGGGTCTACTAAACTCGGCAGAGGCAGAGCCTGAGACCAAGGGAGGGAAGCATCAGGGAGGGAAGATCTGGTCAGGTGACATGTGAGTGTGCAGGAACCCTCCACCTATCCAACAGGTCCCAAGCACTCAGGGTTTTTCCCCTGAACCACAGAGAGTATGTAGGCTTCCTGAGGACACTCAACCTCAGGAATGAACTGAGGACCAGGGATTCTTAGGAATGCCTGTCTAGTGGGCTGAGTCAGCAGATGGGGAAGTCAGGACATTCCTTCTATCCTTGTGAACACAATATCTTCCCCCTGCCCTTTGGTTCCACGTGTTATGCTCTTGGCCAGAGTACTGACCTGGCCTCCTCAAAGGGGATCCAGGCAAGGTTATTTACCCTTGAGGAGAACAGAAGTCCCCAGGCACTGCATCCCAAGGCGGACCTCAGAGAATACTGGGCTCCTTTCACCTCAAGCATCTGGTCTAGGGCAAAGGGGTAGCCTAGCCATTAGGGCAAAGGTGATGGCACTCTGTGCCTGCCTGACATTTCCAATCACTTACTGGAAGTTAGGCCAGGTGTGTACCAGGCGTGGCCATATCTTTGATCCTTGATGCCCTCACCTAAAAGGCCCTTACTGTGTGAGACATGCTGGTCTCCTGCCACCCTTTCCCAATTACTCAGGAGGAGTCTCACCCACCTCTTCCCCATGGCCCATCCCCATGGCCTTCCTCCCTTATTGGTTGTTTTCCAAGCCATTAGAAGTCAGTAGGACTTTCCAGGCAGGAAGATCTGCCCAGCCTCGCTGATGGCTCCCCTTTTAAGTAGTGTTTTGACTTGAACCCATGTTCATAAAGAATCATCAACAAGCTGTAAGAAGGCACAGATTTGGGATCCACTTTCCTCTGTCCCACCTGGCCCTCATTTCTCCACAGGGACCATCAAGGATACAGGGTCTACACACAATGTCTGGGACTTTATTTAAAAATAGTTACGTACTTTTGTCATTAGTTTCCACCTAAATGGTCACCTCCTTGCAGGTACCATCCTTTCCTACTTCCTAACACCCCGTCCCCTCACATTTCTGCAAGGCAGAGCTTCCTCATACCATCTGATGTAACTATGTCTCTTCATGAATCCAGCATTGCTGATTCAAAAGTTCTCTAATTAGGAACATTTTAGCAGATTGAATTATACCAAGAGAAATTTTATCCAGCAAGCAATTATGTGTAGGCAACATGTTACCAGGAAGAGTAATGTGTCTTTTGTCTTGGAACACATCTTAGTCTGCTTTAAGTTACTACAAGAAGGTACCTGATGCTGGATAGTGTATTAAAAATGTGTTTATTTAGTTTACAGTTTTGGAAGCTGAAAATCCATGATCAGATGGCCCTGGTCAATGGGCCATGGTGGGAGTCTTCCAACTATGCTGCTACATGCTAATGGCATTTCATATAGGAACGTGGAGAGATAGTACATGCCAAAGGACCTGGCTCACACTTAAAAATATTAGCTGTGAATCTTAACAGAATTATTCCACTCTGTGAGGTCTAACCCACTCTGAAAGCAGCATCAATCCCTTCACAAGGACTGTCATGCCTTAATCACCTCCCACTAAGCCCCAGTGCCTAAAGGTCCCACCATCTCGACACCACCCCACAGAAGACCAGTTGTCCAGTATATGAACTTTTGGTGAACCAACCATAGTCAAACTATGGCATTCTCTCCCTGCCCCGCAAGGTTCATATTCTACTTACAGTGCAAAATGCATTCATTCCATGCTTACAGTCCCAGAGGCTTATCTCATTCCAGCTGACTCAAAAGTACAAAGTCCCAAGTCCCATTGGAAATGCGAAGCAAATTACTTCCAGCTGTGGACTTGTAAATAAAGAACAAGTTGCGTCTTTTCAAGATACAGTGCTAAAACAGACTCTGTAAACATTTCTATTTTTAAAAGGAGGAATATCCAAGTAGAAGGAGATCACAGACCCTAAGGAAGTCTCAAATGCAACATGGGAGATCATAATAAATTAAAACTCCACATCCAGTATCCTGTGCAGGAGGCAGTGAGTAGTGGGCCCCCATGGCTTCCAACAGCTCCACCCTCTGGCCTTGGTTGCAGCCTTTATGGGTTGCTTTGAGTTGTTATACCAGGCTGCTTGCTGTTGACTTTCCCAGGCTGGTGTTGACACTGCTGGCAGTCACACAATTCTGTGGACCACTCAAGAGGAACGGTCCCAGCCTCACAGCCTCATTAGGCATTTTCATGGGGAATCTATTCAGTGGTTCCACCCCAGCAACAGGGCCTCCCAGACTTTCCTTTGAAATATCAGTTGAAGCTGCTATGATTCTAAAGGCCTTTCATGTATGCCTTTCATGTGTGACTGCAAAATTAGTACAACATGGACACCACCAAGGTCTGGAACTTGCTGCATTTGGAGCACAGTTAGGGCCACGTCTGGGCTCTCTCAAGCTATACCTGGAGCAGATTCAAAGCATTTTCCTGGAAAGCAAGGAGCAGAATCTTGGAGCAACCCTGGACAGTGAGTCTGTGGAGAGCATCTCAAATCCATTTTCTGAACCCATTCTACACCCAAAGCCTCTGGGACTGGGAATCTGGAAGATTACTGTGATGCCCTTAGGGCTACTTTCACATTTATTTAATGCATAGAGAGAGCCTGCCTTCTTTTCAGCCATAGTCATCTCTTTAGTACCCTCTATATTCTCATCAAGGATCCTAATCTTTACATGAGCAGAATGTGAATTTTTCAAAATTTTAATCTGTCTCCCTTTACTAAGTATATGTGTAAATCTCGTTGAAAATGAGCAAAACTACACACACAGATCCTTCTACATTTCACTTTAAAATTTCTCTCTCAAGAGGTCCTAGATTATCACTGTTAAATATTACCTTCCCCAGTGCATGGATATGGTGTATCCAAGTTCTCTGCAGTGGTGTGACAAAAGTGGCCTTTTGCCCAGTTTCCAGCAGAATCGGTCTCAACTGAAGCTTCCTTAGTATGATCTTTATTATCTATGGTGCTACCAACATTCTGATCATCACCACTGCCACTGGTTATCCTGAACTATCAACTTCATTGGCTTAAGAAACACCTAGCAGATTAGCAGAGCACACTCCTGTGTGTGTCTGGTTGGGCTCTGGAGTTGCGGATGTGGGTACTGTATATGGTCCTTGTCCCATTCCTCTCTAATATCCTTCCCCTGCTCTGTTCTCTGGCTGCCATAAACTAACCAGCTTTACCCCACCAGACCTTTCCCCCACAATACTCCTGCCTGGGAGCCAGCTAACTACAGACTAACTGCCCTCAAAATATGAGCTAAATCAAACCTTTCCTCCTTTAAGTTGTGTGTGTCAGGCATTGTGTCTCAGTGATAGAAAAGCTGACTAACACAACCACTTAATCAAACTACAAATTTCTAGCTTCTTCCTAGTCTCTTTGCCATTTGGCCCCTCACCAGAATCACCTATGAGGCTTGTTTTGCAGCAATACAGGATTTTCTAAACTGTGCCTCCAAACTCCACCAAGTATTGGCTATTAGCCAATTCCAAAGCCACTTTTACATTCTCAAATATCATTATAGCAACAACCCTACTCTTGAAACCAATTTTCTGTCTCAGTATATGTTGTGTTGTTATAACAAAATAGCCAACAGTGATTAATATATAAAGCAACTACTTGTGAGATCTTTCTTGCATATCTTTATCTTCCTGAGAAACCACTTTGACGATACCACCATGTATTACAGCAGCCATTGATATTTTCCTACTAATCTGTCCATAACTCTGTAATGTTTGTATTGCTCCTATGCTATTTCATAAATGGGTGTATGTTTATTACTATGTGTTTCCTACAACAACCATTGAGAATAGTCAATGATTATTCATTTGGTCACTCATGTGAGCAATTAGCTCTATTTATTTTCTTTAGAAACCACTTTGAAGATACCAAAGTATAATACAACAACCATTGATAATTTCCTACCACTTTTGTCTGTAACTCACTATTATTTGTCTATTTGTTTTCCTGAGAAACTATCTTGAAGATAGCAATATGTAAAACAACAACCATTGATAATCTCCTACCACTTTGTCTGTAATTCTGTAAGCCCCCCTATTACTATGTTATCCTTCTTTTACTCTTTAAAATAATAATAATAAAAAAGAAATAGAAATATATAAAGCAATAGATTTATTTAGCTCAGAGTTTTGAAGGCTAAAAGCTCATCATTAGGTGGCCTTCTCTGGTCTGCTTCTGTGAGAGCCTTCTAGCTATGTCACAACAAAGCAGGTGCACCTGTGAGAGAGGTCACAAGGCTCTCTCACAAGAGACAAAACAAGAGACTTGAATGGGGTCAAACTCACTCTTTTAACAACTCACTCTCATTCTCCAGGGAATTAATCCATTCCCCCTGAAATGTAATCCCTCCAAAGGACCAAAACTAACCCCTTCACAAAGACCACCATGACCCTGTAACCTTCTACTAGACTCCACCTCTTCACTGCTCCTCCACACTGACAGCCAAGCTTTCAGCACATGAACCTTTGGCAGAAGGACATTAGTAAAACTGCTCTGTCTCTGCCTGGCCTCAGCAGCTGACATCAAACATGCGGATCCAATATGGGTAGGGAAGAAGGAGGAACCTGAGGCTGTTGTGGGATTTTTGTTTGGTTGGATTTTTTGTGGGTTTTTTTTTTTTTTTTTTTTGCTTGTTTGTTTTTTTAAAACTCTTTATTGATTCATGTATCTAGAAATACTGCATTTTTAAATAAATCACCAAAGGTCAAATACTTCTCTATCCTCTCAATAATTTTTTTTTTTTGTACCTGAAATTGAACTCAGGACCTCATATTTGTGAAGCAGGTGCTTGTTTGTTTTTAATGGAACCTGGCTCAAACCTACCAAATTCTGCAGAGGCAAAACATGAAGCTATGGAAGGGAAAGTGCAAGAGAAATCAGAGCTGGTGGAAATGACAATAGTAGGGAAATTGTCAGCCTGAATGAACACCTGCCTGCACAGCGAGGCACAGAGAGGGATAGGGTTACCTGAAGGCTGCACAGGACATAGATCAGCCTTGTCACAGGTAGAAAGTATAGTTCACAAACCCAAAGTACCATAAAAAATTATTCTAGCACAATCCAGTTTATCTAAATTGCATCACTACCTGAAGGAAAACCTGGTATCATTATTTGAAGGGAATTCCAACCATGACATCAGTAAATTTTTGTCATATCCTACTGAAAGGAAAGGGAAGGTGATAGATAGATAGATAGATGACAGATAGACAGATAGATAGATAATAGATAGATAGATAGATAGATGATACATTTCCACAATGCTGCAAGTTCTCACTAAAATCAAACATATAGACAAATGTTATTTTAAATTGTTTGATCATATGAATGTAATCTTTTTTTAAAAATCAAGGTTCAAATAAGGTCCATTATTTACGAAGTACAGATGTGCTTTCTTTTTTAACAGCAGGTTTGAAATACAATTAACATAACATAAGCCCACCCATCTGAGAGAATACTTCAAAGGTTTTTAGTTTGTGAAAGGAGATCACCATGACAATTCCCCTTTCTCCTGAACATAACAACCTCATCCCTTCTTATCCACCATGCTGCTCTTTGTGCCTGTGGATAAGCTAATTGTGGCCATATCATGTGAATGGGATCATGAGGCAGCCCCACAGCAGGGAACGTGACAGGCAGGAAGCATGTATAACCAGTATTTGGAGGTCAGGCTCTTTTGACAAGGCTGATTGAGGATGGCAAGGAAGTGGCAATACCCACAGTGTGGGAGGCAACTGACTCGGCAGACCCAACCCTGATGTGCATCTTTCTGCCCACACAGCCCAGGACTCTATCAGCCCCATCCAGACCACGCTCACAGGGAAGGTGCGTGGCAACCTCGTCCGTGTGAAGGGCACTAACGTGGGAGTCCACACCTTCCTGGGAATTCCCTTTGCCAAGCCACCTGTAGGACCACTGCGGTTTGCACCCCCTGAGGCCCCTGAATCCTGGAGTGGTGTGAGGGATGCGGTCTCCCACCCTGCTATGTAAGCTCTCTGGGGAACTGGGGAAATTCAGGCCCTGGGGAGACAGTGGGTGCTCTGAGCTCTGGGCCAAGTTCCAGTGGTTCTTACACCTAAACCCTTCAGTCAGTTCTCATCTGCTTTGGGGGGAATTCCCACATTGAAGGTGCTGAGGCTCAGAGAAGGGAGAAACTATGCCAGGCTCCTCACTCAGGGACTGTCATCCAGAGGGCATTAGTTCCAAGTGCTGAAGAGTTGAGCAGAGACATATTCATCCCCAGATTTAGATTATTCCTTAGAGGAAATGTCTCTGGGAGAGGTTTACATTGACTCTAGGAATCTCTAAGAGGCCCTAACTCCAGCATCTAATACTAAAGATCCCCGAGGAAGGCAATAGTGGTGGCTTCTAGGGAACCCCACCCTCCACAGTCTCTGTGCCAACTGACAGGGCCAGGTATAATTACCAAAGAAGTGTGCATAAGCTAATGCATGGAGATTCTGTGGGAGAGATGAAGTTCCCCAAGCAACTGCTGCATGTATCTATGAGAAACTAAGCTCTGTTCATTCATGCAGCACCTGTGTGAGGATTTCTCTCATGTTCCATGCCCATATGGCTACAGGGATATGTGGTGAATGTCAGTATCTACAGCCAACGGTTTCCATAGAGACTCCTAAGAATAATGACTACCTAGGCTTGGGAATGGTAGAACCTCAAGGCTGAAGCCTCCCCAGAAGTCTGGACTTCATCTCCACCTCCCCAGAGTCTGTGACCTATTATTTTGTGGGAAGGAACTTGAGGGGATGATTCTATATAAGCAGTGCATCAGGGAGAGCAGGGAATGAGGATAGATGGGCACAAATCTGGATCCAGGGTCTGATTTTGCCACTGGCTGAATGCGGTATGCTATGGTTGATCACCAGGTGTCTGCAGGACATCACTGCAATGAATACACAGGCTCTGAAGTTATTGAATCTGACCATGCCTCCCATCCCTGTGTCTGAGGACTGCCTGTACCTCAACATCTACACACCTGCCAATGTCCATGAAGGTTCAAAGCTGCCTGTGAGTGTTAAGATGTGGTCAACTGAGAGTGGGAGGAAATTTGTTCTACGGAAGATTAGAAGGGCCAAGATTAGCTCCAGCCCTGCTACCATGTGGACCCTCATGATCAGCCTTTCACTATTAGGTCCCAGAAGTCATTCTCACCCAGCTGGCACCTGGCCCCTTGGCTTGGGGATGCTGGGCCCTTCCTACTCCCAGAAGTCAGGGGCTATGGCCATTAGATGTACCCAGGATCCATTCAACTATTTCATGCCTAGGAGACCAAGTTGGTATCCAAGGACTGCACTACAAGGTTGCCAAGACCGCAGCCAATTGATTATCTCTTGGCCAAGGGAAAGTGGAGATATCTGATTAATGTTCCTGTGGGACTTTGGGGGAGATACTCTCTTTTTTCCATGTCAGAGGAATTCTGGGAGTAATTAAGTAATGATATATAGAGCTAGTTCCAAGAAGGAGAGGCTTTTTTTCCCTGATTGAACATGGGTCATTTACCTACAGCTGAAATCACCTGCTGGGGTTCTGTTTATGTGGTTAGCTGCACAAGTTAAATCTATGGGTAGCCCAGGTGGGACTTGGGCTGGGAGGAAGATGGCATCTGTTTTGCTCTCTCCAGGTGATGGTATGGATCCACGGTGGTGCACTAGTTATAGGCACAGCCTCCATGTATGATGGATCCACACTGGCGGCTTCTGGCAACGTGGTGGTGGTCACTATCCAGTACCGCCTTGGTGTCCTGGGCTTCTTCAGGTGACTCTGGGGCTGGGCTGGGACATGGAAACTTGGCACAGCCACAACAAGGAAATGACCTCTATCCCTGGCACTTTTCAGCACTGGAGACCAACACGCCACTGGCAATTGGGGGTACCTGGACCAAGTGGCCGCTCTACGCTGGGTACAGCAGAATATCGCCCACTTTGGAGGCAACCCTGACCGTGTCACCATTTTTGGCACATCAGCAGGTGGCACAAGCGTGTCCTCACATGTCTTGTCCCCCATGTCCCGAGGACTCTTCCATGGTGCCATCATGGAGAGTGGGGTGGCTCTACTGCCCAGCCTCATCTCCAGCTCACCTAAGGCCATCTCCACAGTGAGTGCCTTCAACCACCCCAGGCCAGGGTACCCCCTCTACTCTTACCTTCAGAGCTTCTGGTGCTCTGTTTGTTCAGTGGGAACAACCAGGACAAACCAGGTTTCTTGGAAACTTCTGTCTTCCTGAGCATTATTGAGGGGCTCAAGTGTCAGAACCCACAAACTTCTGCCTCATAGAACAGAAGTATGTTCTGTGGCCAGAAAAGCTGCACCCTGGAGCCTCCATGATGGACAGAATCATGTAAGTATGTGAGATGTCCCCTCCAGCTGAGACCTGTCAATGCCAGAGAAGTTAGAACTATTCCACATTTGCAGGAATCTGCTCAGTGTACCCCATGAGATTATAGAGTGCTTGCATGCAGCTGAAGCTTTGGACACACTCTTCTCCTTTCCTGGAAGGGCCTTGGACACACTCCTCCCTTTTCCAAAAGGATAAGCCTGCCCCTACTTGCCTCTTTACAGAAGGTGGCCAACCTGTCTGCCTGTGGGCCGGTAGACTCAGAGTCCCTGGTGAGGTGCCTGCGGGGCAAGAGTGAAGAGGAAATGCTGGCTGTTACCAAGGTAGAGCTCAGTGGTCATGAGTGAAGTGAAATGGGGATGATAGAATGGAGAACTGTAAGATCTGTGTGCCATTCACCTCCCTGGGACAGTTTCTTCCTTGGTATCCCAGAATCCTGAATTGGAAATGGAGGCCAATGTGCTAAGCCTACAGCTGGATCTCTTGGGTTGATGTCAACATCCTGGGATGGACCAGAAAAGAATAAAGGGCTATTAACAGGCATCAAGAAATATCTGAGAGCAGACTTTGATCCCTGACTGCCCCTCTTCAGGTCTTCAAGATCATCCCTGCTGTGGTGGATGGGGCCTTCCTGCCCAGGCACCCCCAGGAGCTGCTGGCCTCTACTGATTTTCAACCTGTCCCCAGCATCATTGGTGTCAACAATGATGAATATGGCTCTCTCCTCCCCTTGGTGAGGCCCAGTTCCAAGTCCTTGCTGTCAGGGAAGCCTATATAGGAGCTCCGGGCCAATTTGAACCACAGCACAAACTCTCTCTCCCTGCCACCCAGATTGTGGGACCCACCAATACCCAAAAGGAAATTGACAGAGAAGTGGTGCGGAATGCTCTGCAGACAAGGTTAACACAAATGGTGAGGCTCCTGGGATAGGACAAAAACTGAAGAAGGACACACCCAGATATCCTGCCCACATAGTAACGTGAACAAAGGCTGGGAGTGGGGGAGGGGTCACTCCAGTTTCAGCAGTTCTATTCCCACTCCTACCCCAAGCCCCATCTCCCTACCCTAAGACTACTGTCTCCCTGCCTTTGATCCTGCCTAACCTGATTGTCCTGATAACTCTGGGCCAGATGTTACCTGCTGGGCTTGGTGACCTATTGATGGAAGAATATATGAGTGACAATGAGGACCCCCAGATCCTCCGAGCCCAATTCCAAGACATGATGGAGGATTTTGTGTTTGTGATCCCTGCACTCCAAGTAGCACTTTTTCAGTGTGAGTATATCTGAAACTAAGGCCAGACTGCCTTGGGGGCAGCTGAATGGTAGATCTCCAATAACATCTGAAGTGCCCAATTCCCTACCCATGTGTTAATTGTGCTTCTGGTGCCCAGCAATTGATGATCCTCTGGTCACTAAATTTTCATGGCTAGTGTAAGAGATAAGCATCACTCCCATTTTACAGATGAAGAAACAGGTTAGTGATATCCAATGATTTGCCACAGTTAGGAAAGCCACAGCCGTGACTTAACCAAGCTCTTCCTTTGGCCCTGTCCGAGCCTGGGGCTCCCTGCCTCACTCTCCAGACTTCAGCAAGCTTCAAATCTAGCTATCTTGTCAACAAGGGTGAGGCAGAAGAGCTCAGGTGAGGAGTCAACAAGTTGCAACTTGTCCCTGGCCTCAGGTTCCCGTGCCCCTGTTTACCTCTATGAGTTCCAGCATCGACCCAACTTTTTCAAAGACATCAAGCCACCCCACGTGAAGGCAGACCATGGCGATGAGAGTATCTTTGTCTTCAGATCCTTTTTCTCAGGCTACCAAGGTGAGACTTCCTTAATCTCCAGGAGCAGAGATGGATCTCTGGATGGGCCCCTTGCAAGCATCTGCCCTCACTGTCTACCTCAGTGGTGGCGAACCTATGGCACACATGTTATTTGTTTCTCTTTTCAGAAAGAAAATGCTAATTCATGAGTTGTTTTTCTAAACTAAAACATCAGTACTCAGGTTTAATTGCAGCACTGGCACTTTGTGATAAATAAGAGGGTTTGGGGTTGCAGTTTGTGCACTCATCTCTAAAAGGTTCGCCATCCCTGGTCTAGATAATGAAACTGAGGCTTATGGAGGGTGGGGTCAGTGTCCACCATCTTGCAGTTCAAAAGTCTGTTTTGCAAGATTAGAATCTCAGCCCTTCCACTCCAACCTTGCTCCCCCTACCTGCCCCTACCCTGACCATGCATATAGCATGGGTGTATGGAGAGAGGGAGAGTGTTTAAAAGGTATTGTTTCTCAAATGATTTCCCAGTGACAGAAGGAAGAAGGAGCCTTATGGAACCAGCCCGAAGTTGATTCTACTAGAGGCTGGGATGAGTAAGGGCAGGCTGGACAAGGAGATGGCTTGGTTCCTAAGAAAGGCTGGTAGGGAAGGGCTCAGGCCTGGGGTCCAGGGTCAGGCTGCAGCTGTGTGGTGAGTGTGGCACATGAATGGGCAGTGGGATGGGGGTTGAGCAAGACCTAAGTTGCTGTCTTCTTCCTCTCTGAAGTTGACCTCACTGAGGAGGAGGAGCTGCTGAGCAGGAGAATGATGAAGTATTGGGCCAACTTTGCTCGGAATGGGTGAGACAATGCCCCTGCCTCAACTTCCCTATGGCGTATGAACCCATCAGGTGCTCCTCTCACTTGTGGTGACCTCACTGACATACATGTGTCTTTAATCACACAATAACGGCCTCTCAACTCCAGGTCCTACAGGGACATGGGCAAAGAGGAACCTCGTGGGTACTCGTCATTCATCCCTCTCCCAGTGACATGAAAGATGGGCCACAGTACTGTTGTTCAGTCACATCTTGCCTCTGAGAGGGAGGGAGAAAATAGACACTTTGCTCCAGGAGGGGACACTGGTGGGAAACCCTTGCTTTCCAATATCAAGAAACCTCCTCATCACCCAGCACTCCCTGACCAGCTTGGCATCCTGGTCTGATCCAAATCAGACCAGTGAGATCTCAGGACAGCAGGGCTCAGCCTGATCTCCTCCCCTACTTGGAGGGCATGTCCACAGGAACCCAAATGGTAAGGACCTACCCCAATGGCCTGTGTTTGACCATGAGGAGCTATACCTGCAGCTGGACCTCCAACCTGCTGTGGGTCGTGCCTTGAAGGCCCACAGACTGAAGTTCTGGATGGAGACCCTGCCCCAGAAGATCCAGGAGCTGAAGGAGGCTGAAGAGAACCACACAGAGCTGTAGCCCCGTGTGCGGGAGGTAGGGTCAGTTTGAGTGCAAGTGGGATCTGCCTGTAGTGCCACACACCCACCAAGGACCTCAGGCTGACCTCATAGTCGCATAGCCATTCACTCACTCTTCATTCATCCATTCAGTCAATACTTATGAAGAAACCACTGCATGATATTTACTGCCAAGCCTGCTATGGCTCCCTCTTCTTACACATATTCAGTACATTCCCCAGGGAGCTGTGGATAGGTGAGCTCCAGTGGACACCCTCCTTCCTCCATGCCCCACTGGGCCTGTCCTTCTCTCCACCCTGTCTCTCTTTCCCCTCTCAGCCCCATGCTCTCTCCACATTGAGAAATATAATTTGGCAAGTTTTCCCTGGGTGTCAGAATCCCACTTCCACCTCTCGGCAGATCCCCTACATTCTCAGATTTGTACAAGGTACAATAATAGAAAACCTGGATACCAGAAGCCCTAGTATCCTGGTCTCTTCAGGATGCAGTAGCAAAAGTACCATAATCTGGTTGGCTAATATCCCACAAAAGTTGATTGTTGACAGTTCTGAAGTTTAGGAAGTCAGTGATCAAGAAGTGAGCTAATTTGATATCAGGTTAGGACTTGCTCTCTCATTCATAATTGGCAAAAGAGGTCTTTTCCCTTTGTACTCATATCAAAGAGGGGATAAACAAACTCTCACAGGACAAATTTTCAAAAGATTATATTAATCTCTCTCTATTGCTAGAATAAACACTTGAATCTAGTACTTAAAAATAGAAGAGTTTCATTTAGCTCATAGTTTTGAAAGTTGAAAGATCAAGATTGGGTTCTTCCGTCTGTTTGCCCTAGATTGCCTCACAACACAGCAGTGAAGCCCAGCGCAGAAAGAGGAAGCTCATGGGATGGCCTTGCTTTATGACCATCCACACCTATGTATTCCATGAGAAGTGCATTAATCCCTACCAAGAGTAATGACACCAACAACCTCATTAACTCCTAATAGTCCTCCTGTTCTGAAGATCAACCACCTACCACCATAACGCTGCAGACCAAGCTTCTAGCACATGAACCTTTGGGGTCAAATATTATCCATGTCATAACAGGCACAAATCCAAATCTACCACTGGCCTTAGGACAATTCATACATTCATTCACCTATGTCCCAAAAGGTAACTGGCTCCATTCTGTGAGAAGCAGGACTAGACATGTCCATTGGCCTCTGAAACCTGGGCCAGTAAGGATGTGGTTCCTCAGCAATCTGTCTCCTGATGTTTGTCCCTAGACTGTAGTCTGCATGATCATTTCACAGTGTGACAAGGTTTATCTGTGAGATCTTGGAAGTAGGATTGAGAAGTCAAGAAGATGCAAACACATTTACAGAAGATGTTCCTGTTCCTTCCTCCCTGAAGGCTTTTCCACCAAGGAGATGTCTTCCTGCCTTTCAGAATTCGCCTGGCAACCTCCTGAGCCCCTGCCCACCTCCTGAGCCCCTGCCCATCCCCACTGACCGTGGTGTCCACACAATTCATATTCCTTCCCACCCCATTGTTGTTCTTAAACTTTTCTCCCTCCTCCCCTTAAAAAAACCTTCTCATATTTTATCTCATTGTACATTGTACTCTGTTTGCCTCTTTGCTTCCCCAAAGAATTTTTCTGTCTGTCCAAGAGACCCTAAGATTCCCTTCCATTCCCTGTGTCTGACCAATTTGCCCTCCTTGAGCACCAGTTTTCCCAAGGGGACAGCCCTCCTTCTTTCATCGAACTACAGAGCATTATAAATTTCTGGGTAAAAGATGAAAATTCCCATGTTGCCCTCCAGCAAACAAACAAGGACATCATTAAACATGGGCCACCAACTTGGCACAGGGAATTTGTTCCTTTGAGTGAGTGAATGATTGTATAGTTTGCATCCCTGCCAGCCATACTTGATGGCACGAGTTACCCTGTACTTTCAACAAGACTTGGAATTATGAGTCTTAAATCTGATTACACTGAATAGATGTGCAATGAGATCTCTTTGCAGATGTTTCCCTGGGATTTTAACTCTACTCCTATTTTTTTCTGCCAGTAGTCAGATAGTTAGAGAGGTAGAGATAAAGATGATAGATGATTAGATAGATAGATAGATAGATAGATAGATAGATAGATAGATAGATAAACAGACAGATATGATCCTAAGACTCTTCTTTCCTTTCTTCTGCATTCAGTTTGGTCAACAAAAATCCCAGGGGCCTCCCAAAAATGGTACACTAGTAGGAGAGGATAGGGTGTTGTTTCTACCACATCCTTAAAGTATTTATCAAGTTCCTGCAGCAAGTATGTCTCTGTTTTCAGTTCTTCAGATGCACTATATTTGACCAGAGTGAGTTCCCAGGATATTTCATTAACATTCCATAATAATTTTTTATAGTACTGGGTATTGAACCTGGGCTGTCATGCACACTAGGCAAGTGCTCTGCCACTGGGAGAGTGGGGGCTGAGAACCCCCAGCCCCATGTGGAATAATTTACACACAATTAATCACTTTTAGATTTATAGTTTAATAACACTGTGTAAATGTATAAGACATGCAACCACCACCATATCAACTTTTAGAATACTTCTTTCACTCCAAGAACTTCCTTCATACCCCTTTGCAGCCCACTGTGGCCCTCCACTCTATTCCCTGGCAAACACTTAGCTGTTTTCTGTTGCTATACTTTGTTTTCTCTATAACATCATATAAAAGGAATCATGTGATTGGCTCAGTCCCTTTGCATAATGTTTTTGAGTTTTAAGTGACATTTCTTTCCTTTTATTCCAGAGTGGCACTCCATGTAAGGATACACCACACGTACCTACTCTCCAGTTGATGCACAATTTTTTTTCAATACTGGGGATTTAACCCAGGGCCACTGCACTGAGCTACATTGTCAGTCCTTTTTGTTTTCTCTTTCGAGCCGGGGATTTGCTAAGTTGCCCAGGCTCAGCTTGAACTTGTTTTTTTGTTTGTGTGTTTGTTTGTTTGTTTTCTGGTACCGGGAATCGAACTCACAACCTTGCTCTTGCCAGGCAGGCGCTGTGCCGCTGAGCTAAATCCTCAGCCCCTCAGCTTGAACTTGTGATCCTTCTGTTTCATCCTCCTAGAGTGCTGGAATTACAAGTGTGCACTCCCATACCCAGATCTTAGCTACTTTTTAATAAAGCTGCTCTGAACATTTCCAGACATATGTTTGTGAGGACACGTGCTCCTATTTCTTTGAGGTAAAGACCTAAGAGGGAAATTGCTGAATTATATGATATGTCTGTGTATCTTTTAAGGAAAATGCCAAGCTATCTTTCAAAATGACTATATAATTTGAATCCCCACTAGCCATACGTGAGGATGAGTTATTCCATACCTTCAACAAGACTTGGACTTATGGATCTTAAATCAATTCCACTGAATAGATATGCAATGAGATCTCTTTGGCAGATGTTTCCCTGGACTTTTAAACTCTGCTTTCATCTTTTTCTGCAGATAGATAGAAGATAGATAGATAGATAGATAGATAGATAGATATAAAGATAAACACATGCACACAGATATGCTACTGAGACTCGTCTTTCCTTCGTTCTACATTTTCACTATTAACTTGGTCAACAGAAGGGGCCTCCTAATGATGGTAACGTAGTGGTGAGCACATAGAGACCTTCACCCCAGCACTGGTGGTCAGCAGCCCCAAATTAGGAAGAAGCACTGTGTTGTCCAGTTAATATAAGGAGCTTGGACCATGAGCCTGAGCTGGGAGGAAATGGAGATCTCTCAGCACCTGATCAGCCTAGAAATTGATCAGGTCAGGAGAATCAGGAAGAGAGAGCATCTGCCCAGGTAGGGGCTGGGACCATGACTTGAACCACAGTGCCTTGATGACAGAGATTGAGTCAACAACAGGTTGACTGGATGAGGGTTGAGGAGGGCAGTGGTCTCAGCAAGATTGTCACACAGACACAGATAAATGCTCATTGCTCCCTCCATGGTACTGAGAAGGGACCCGGACAGCTCTGAGTTGTGAGACCCCATGGGGCACTGGAATGTAGAGGCCAAGGCCATTTTCAGAGGCACTAAGGCTATCTGAGCTGAGCATGACACACATTCCTCCGGGTAGTCAGGCTGGGTGGGCCCCCGCAGACCCAGGCTGCTTCCCTCCACCCCTGCAGGCTCACACACCTCAGAATCTCCTCTCTACCCCTCTTCCTTCCCTGAGAACTGAAGGCCTACGAGTTGCTGTCAGCTCCCCAGCATCAGACCAGCACACCTTCAATTCATGTCTCTACAGTTAATAATTGACTATGAACTTGATCTTTGTCATGGGGTGATGAGGGGACCTGCAGAAATGCCACGGTCACGTGTGTTCTCAAAGTGAGGGGCCTTGAAAGGATCTCAGACTGTGAACAATGGAGAGGAGAGATCTGAAGAGGACCCAGTCAGCCATGAGTCCAGAAGCTAAGGAGGAACTGTCAGGATGAAGGGCATAGTCACACTACCAGCCTTTGCCCAAGCTGTTCCCTTCACTCCCATCAAAGATCAATTCCAGCCAGGCATGGTGGTACACTCCTATAATCCCAGCACCTGGTAGGCTGAGGCAGGAGGATTACTATGAGTTTGAGGCTAGCCTGAACTACATAAGGAGAATGTTTCAAAAAAAAAGGTCAATTCCATTCCATCTATGGGAGTCCTCCTTCTGCATTTCCTCAGCAGCCCTCCTAGATTCTCCAGTTTCAGGCTCTTGCTCCCTCCTCTTGGCCCCCAACAATTTCCTCCCACTGTGGCTGCAAAGTCAGTGGAACATAGTGACTCCAACTTTGAAGAAATGGTTCTTGATATCTCACAAGGGCTTCAGAAGTCACTCAGTGGCTTAGGATGAAGCCAGAGAAGCCAGGTCAGGGGTGAAGCAAGCATGCCCTGCCTGCTGAGCGCCAGGAAGCCTCTACCTGTTTACTGTGAGTCTCCTGCATCAGGCACTGCTCCCAGTCTTGCCCAACCCCTGCCTGTGGGATTCAAACTCCAGCCTGGGCAAGGTCCTTCTCAAAGGCTGCCTGCGAGTGAAAGGCACAACAAAACAGCAGCATAGAAACAGGCCTGGGAGCAGACCATGAGGCTGGATCAATTTGCGTTACTGAATGTGATAGCCTGGGGGCTGCCGCTTCTCCTTGCTCGTGGCCACGGTAAGACTCCTCAGGGGCTAACAGGAGTCTGGGTGGAATCTGCCAGAGGCACAATCTGAGACTGCAGGAGGGAAGCACAGGGGACGGAGGAGCTGGTGGAGATGACAGATGACAGTGTGGGAAATATGAGCCCATTCAGCACCCCCACCCATGCCAGGCACCTGAGATGGGCACTTGAAACATAGAGGGGATCAGGGCTGCCAGAGGACCCCCAACATGGAGTCCACAGCCAAGAAACAAGAACTGTGAGACTGGACAGGTAAACAAACATCCTGGGAACAGGGCAGGTGGGGATGGCATTTGCAAACTTTGCCTCCTGTGTTTGTGACTAGAACTAACCCTTCCTATGGATAATGACCACAATACCTTTACACTGTCATTTGTCACACCCTTGGCCAGAGGGGTGCACTGATATTTTCCAAAGAGAAACTAGGCAAGGTAACTGCCCTGGGGGAGACAGAAGCCCTTGACACCACACCCCAAAGCTGAACTGAGAAGCCACTGAGTTCCTTTCACCCCGTTTACTCAACCTGGGACAAGGGGATGGCTTGGCTTCCAGGACAAATATAACTTGCTCTGGGCCTCCCAGGTGCTCCAGCAGCTCAGCCAGGCAGACACCAAACCTAGTGGTGCCCTTGGCCCTTAATGTTCTCGCTTATATGGCTCCTAGTGTGAGACCTGATACCTGTAGCTGCCTTTTCTCAAACCAGTCTGGTCAGGAGGAGCCCGCACTCTGCACCCTGTGGCTCATCCCCGAGGGCCTTCTCCCCTGCCATTGCTCTGGCTCTTAGAGGGCACCAGGACCTTACAGGCAAGAAAATCTTCTTGGTTATACTGATGGCTACATTTGAAATAGCATTTTGACTTTGGATCCACATTCAGCAAGAGCATAATTGTTCTTTGATATCTGTGGGGATTGGATCAAGGACCCTCCAGCAATACCCAAGTGGGCAGATGCTCAATCCCTTTATATAAAATGACCAAGTATTTGCATATAACCTAAGCATGTGTTCTTTGAAAAAACACTAAATTATTTATGATGTCTAACACCAGGTAAGTGTTATATAAATAGCTTTTTTACTATATTGTTTAGGGAATAAACAAGAAAAATGTCTGTACATAGTCAGTATAAATCCAGCTTTTTTCTTCAGTGTTCTCCATCCTCATGGGAGACTAAATCAAGGAATACAGGACTCACTAACATGGAGGACAACTATAATTCACAAGCCATAAGGGGTTCAAATGGTGGGTACCACCCAGACTTGGCTTTTCCCCAGGGACCGCCAAATTCCCTAAGGCCTTACATACAGTTTCCAATAACATTTCACTGGTTTTAACATATTCACAGAATTCACAACCCCAGTTTCCCCTTCCTGAACACAGTCCCCAACCTCAGTACTAGACACACACCAGTCTCCTCTGTGTTAGTGGATATGCTAATTCTGGACTTGTCACTACTAATAGAATCATGAAGGCAATGGCGGCAAGAGGAACAATGTGATAGGCCACAAAGAGTGTGAAAGCCATGTTTGCTTTTTGACAAGGCTGATTGAGGATGGCAAGGAGGTGGCAACACCCACAGGTGACTGGGCAGACCCAGTCTTGATATACATCTCTCTACCCACAGCCCAGGACTCTGCGGGCCCCATCAGGACCACACTCACAGGGAAAGTGCGGGGCAGCCTCAACCACGTGAAGGGCACCAGTGTGGGGGTCCACATCTTCCTGGGAATTCCCTTTGCCAAGCCACCTGTAGGACCACTGCGGTTTGCGGCTCCTGAGGCCCCTGAGCCCTGGAGTGGTGTGAGAGATGGGACTTCCTACCCTCCCAGGTAAGCTTTCTTGTTTGCCTGGGTGTATTCATGCCCTGGTGAGAGGTTGGGTGTTCTGAGCCTGGGCCAGTCTGCAGTAGTTCTTTCATCTAAACTCCTTAGATGCTTTTCTTCTGTCTTGAGGGATTTCCACAATAAGCCTGCTAAGGCTCCAGAGGGTGAAGGAAGAATAACAGACATCTTTCGCAGCACTTGGGAGGCTGAGGCAGGAAGATTGCTTCAAGCTTGAGGCCAGCCTGGGCTACACAGTGAATTCAAGGACAGTCTGAACTGTACTGCAATACCCTGTCTCAAAACAACAATGACAACAACAACAATAAAATAACAAGTATCTGGCTCAGAGTTTGACACCCAGAAGGTATTAGTTCCAGGTGTTGAAAATAAGAGCAGAGATCTATTTATCCCCAGATTCAGTTTATGCCATGCATTCTCTGCCACCAGGGGAGATGTCTCTGAGAGAGGTTCAGATTGGCTCTATGACCTTGTAAGAGGCCCTGACTGTAGGTGCAGACACTGCAGATGCCTGAGGAGGGCGCAGTTGTGGCTCCTGAGATATGCCACCTCCACAGTCACTGTGCCAACCACCAGGGCCCCATACCATTGGCCAAGGAACAAGTGTTTGTTCTTATAACTGGGGATAGTGATAGAAATGAGATTCCTGGAGAGTCTAGACTTGGAATGAGGAACATCCAGCTATTCTTCCATGGGAAATTACCCTCCATTCACATATGCAACACCTGTGTCAGAGCTCTGCCTCTGTTCCAGCCCAAATGGGCACAGGAATAAGGGATGAACATCAACATTTGCAACCAAAAGTCCTCTAGAGACTCCTAAGAGTCACAACTTCCCAGCAGCAGGAGGAATGGTATCCATGGCCCTCAACTTCCAGAGACCTCTCTGGAAGTCTGGACTCTATCCCAGCTTTTCTGGTCTCTTCCTTGTGCCTTGGTGGCTAGGGACTTGAGAGAAGGACCATGTGTGAACAGGGCATCTGGAAGAGAAAAGACTGAAGGTGGCTGGGAACAAATCTGCACCCAAGGTCTGCTTTTTACCACTGCACAACTCCTGAACTAACTGTTGACATTGTCATCAGATGTCTACAAAATACTGATAGAGTGAATACATTAGTAATGAACCTCTTGAATTTGACCCAACCCACCATTCCCATGTCTGAAGACTGCCTCTACCTCAACATCTACACACCTGCCCACGCCCATGAGGAATCTAACCTGCCTGTGAGTATCAGGCCATTGTTATCTGGGGGTGGGAGGACATTCGTTCTGCAAGATTAGAAGGACCAAGATCAGCCTAGGTCCTGCTGTAGTGTGAATCCTGATGAGAAGCCTCTTACTGTCAGGTGGGCAGCTGGCTCTTGAACATGGAAACACAGAATCTGTGAATATTGGGTAGACCCAGGACTCATTCAACTGTCTTGTGCATAGGATACCCACTTGGTGGCCAAAGACTGCACACTGAGGTCACCAAAGACCCCAACAAATGATTACGTGTTGAGCAAGTAAGAATGGAGGACACTTAAGATTATGTGAGGATTTCAGGGTAACACTAATTTTATGTCCACATCTGAGGGGCTCTATAAATAATGGAGTGAGGTTTTGAGACATAGAGCTGATTCCAAATGATAAGAGCTGCTGCCTTTCTTTCCAACCTAAGTCTGTCACTCGTGGCCCAGATCATAGCACCTACTGGGGTTCTGTGTATATGGGTAGCATCATACAGCCAAAGCAATATTTAGTCTATAGGTAGCCCATATGGGGTTTGGTCTAGGTGGAAGGCACAAGGTATCTGTCTCTCTCTCCCTAGGTAATGGTCTGGATCCATAGTGGTGGACTAGTTATGGGCACGGCTTCCAGATATGATGGTTCCATGCTGGCAACACTTGAGGATGTGGTGGTGGTCACTATCCAGTACCGCCTGGGTATTCTGGGCTTCTTCAGGTAAGCCTGGGGCTGGGCTGCGAAATGGAAACTTGGCAGAGTCACAACAGGAATGTGACCCCTGTCCCTGCTACTTCTCAGCACTGGAGACCAGCACGCCGCTGGCAACTGGGGCTACCTGGATCAAGTGGCTGCTCTACGCTGGGTACAGCAGAATATTGCCCACTTTGGAGGCAACCCTGACCGTGTCACCATTTTTGGCCAGTCTTCAGGTGGTATAAGCGTGTCTTCACATGTCTTGTCCCCCATGTCCCGAGGACTCTTCCATGGTGCCATCATGGAGAGTGGGGTGGTCCTTGCGCCGGGCTTCATCTCCAGCTCACCTGAGGCTGTCTCCACAGTGAGTGCCTTCAACCACCCCATCCCAGGCTCCATCCCTCTCCCCTCACCTTCAGAGCCTCTGGTTCCTCTCTGCTCAGTGGGGACAACAAGGACAATTAAGGAGCCCTTGAGGATGTTCTGTGGCAGGCAAAGCTACCCCCTGAGGCACCTCTCATGCACAGAACCATGTAGCAGAAGGAATGGCTGAGATCTCTGAGTATCAAGGAAGTCAAACAATTTCACATCTGTGTTAAACCACAGAGGGTACCTTATGAGATTAGGGCACAGATGCACCCAGATGAGGCTTTGGGCCTACAGTTCTAGCTGCCTGGAAGGATGAACCTGTCCCTGCCTGGTCCTTTTACAGGTGGTGGCCAACCTGTCTGGCTGTGAGGAAACAGACTCAGAGACCCTGGTGCGGTGCCTGCGGGGCAAGAGTGAAGAGGAAGTGCTGGCTATTACCAAGGTTGGGTTCAATGGTCTTGAGTGGGGATAATAGTATAAGGGGCAAGAAGGCATGAGTGCCCTTCAAACTCCCAGGAGAGTGTCCTTCTCTCTATGCCTTGATGTTTGATAGTCCTGGATGTGAACTGCAGACTCACCCATGTAGTTAGTGCCCAGGCATGAAAAGAAGTCAGGGTAGGTATTTGGGGATAAGACAGAAAGAAGTATGAGACACCCAGAGGACATCAGAAATTTTCTAGAACCTGACCTTGCTTCCTGACATTCATTTTCCCTCCAGGCCTTCAAATTCATTCCTGCTGTAGTGGATGGGGCCTTCCTGCCCAGACATCCCCAGGAGCTGCTGGCCTCTGCTGATTTTCAACCTGTCCCCAGCATCATTGGTATCAACAATGATGAATATGGCTGGAGTCTCTCCATGGTGAGGTCCATCCTCCACACCAGGTCTGGGTAACTATGGAAAAATGTTTGGTTTCAAGGCTCCAGGCTCATCTACCCACAACTCAAGATTATTTTCCCACTATCCAGGATCCTGGCATTATGGACACACAGAAGGAAATGGACAGAGAGACCATGAAGGCTGTTCTGCAGATGTGCGCAGCACTAGAGGTGAGGTTCCTGGTGTCTTGCCCCAGCAAACAGGGAATACCTAGATATTCTGGCATGCAACAGCCATGCCCATGAACAAAAGCTGAGCTATGTTTTTAGGGGTTACCCTAGAGCTTGATGATTTCCTGCATTCTCAACCCCATCTCGCCACCGTGGGGCAGCTCTCTCCTGCCCAGAGCTGCATGACATGAAACTCCATGATCCCCCTATGCAGATACTGCCTACTGAGTCTATTGACCTTGTGATAGAGCAGTACGTGGGGGACAATGAAGACCAAGAGATTCTTCAAGTCCAATTCCAGGAGATGATGACAGATAACATCTTTGTGACCCCTGCACTCCAAGTAGCCCATTTCCAGCGTAAGTACATCTATTACTGAGGCCTAGATGCCCATGGGGCAGTTCAGAGCTTTGGGTCCCGGGTGAAGTCTCTCGTGTCCACCTCCTAACCCACATCTTAATGAAACCCTTAAGGAAAGATTTTCAATATCTCTCATCTCAGTAAGTTATGGCTAGACTCAGAGACTGAGATCTACCCATTTTACAGTTGAAAAAACTGAATTAGTAACACTCAGTTACTTGGCCACCACACAACTAGGAAAGCCAAGACCAAGATTTAGCCAAGGCCATTCCTACACCTCTCTTCTGGCATGAAGTTCCCAATCCCATTGTCCAGAATCCAAACACCTTTGGACCTATGCATCTTCTTAACAAGAATGAAGTAAGATAGCTTCCAGGTGAGGGCCCATCATGTCACAGCCTGTCAATGTCCCCAGGTTCCCATGGCCCTGTCTACTTCTATGAGTTCCAGCATCCACCCGACTTCTTCAAGGATATCAGGCCACCCCGTGTGAAGGCTGACCATGGCGATGAGGTTTTCTTTGTCTTTGGATCCTCCTTCTGGGGTAATGAAAGTGAGTCTGCTTGGATCACAGCTGGGCCCCTGAGGGATGACTGTCTTCACTGTCCAGACGAGGAAACTGAGACTCAGTGAGAAGACAGAAGCAGGTGTCCACCAGATTAAAGTTCAAGTTTGTATGAGGATTAGAACCCGAACCCTTCCCCTGCAGCCTGTGCTCCTCCCCACCCCAACTATGGTGTACATCATGCATACAGGGGGTTGGGAGATGTCTAAATGCATATTTATTTCTTGAATGACTTCCCAGTATTAGAAGAAAGAAGGAGTCTTCTGGGTGTGGATTGAGCCCCAAGTGAATTCAGCTAGAGGCTGGAATGAGTAAGGGCAGGCTGGGAAAGGGGAGGGCCTAGATCCCCAGGTGGGTCAGGAGGGTAGGGACCAGGTCTGGGGTCCTAAGTCAGGCTACAGCAGTGTGTGAAATTGTTGAATAGGCAGTAGGATAAGCAGAATGAAGGTCGATCTAGGACCTGGCCCCCTGTCCTCTTCCTCTCTATAGTTGACTTCACTGAGGAAGAGGAGCTGCTGAACAGGAGGATGATGAAGTATTGGGCCAACTTTGCTCGAAATGGGTGAGAGGATGCCCCCTGCCTCAATCTTCCCGGGGTGTGCATGAGCCCATCAGGTGCTCCTCTTATCTGCGGGAACCTCATTAGAATACAGTAAGTCCCCAACTTACAAATAAGTTCCGTTCTGGGAGAATTGCTCACAAATCATATTCATCCATAAGCCAAAAAAGTGAGTCTTATACAGTAAACCTGTGAAAGTCCACAACTCACATGTTCATAAGTCCAGGACTTACTGTATATGTGTCCTTCATCACATAATAGTATCCTCCCATACCAAGGACAGTCAGATGACACTTATTGGTACTGGTCACTGGGTCTCATCTCCCAGTGACCCGGAGGGTAGGCTGAAGTGCTGTGGTTCAGCCACAGCATGCCTCTAAGAAGTGGAGACAAAGGAGATCAAGTTGCCTTATGCCACAGAGAGGGGACACTGGTAGAAGGTCCTTGCTTTCCTATATCAGGAAACAAACCTCCTCCACATCACCCAGAAACACCCAGCCTCTCCCCCTCCCACCAGCTACCTGGTCTAACCCAAATCAGGCCTCTGAGGTCTGGGCTCTGCAGGGCTCAGACTGACCTCTCCTCCCATGTTGGGAGGTGTGTCCACAGGAACCCCAATGGCGAGGGCCTGCCCCACTGGCCTGCACTGGACCACAAAGAGCTGTACCTGCAGCTGGACATTGAGCCTACTGTGGGCCGTGCCCTGAAGGCCTCCAGGGTGAAGTTCTGGACAGAGACCCTTCCCCAGAAGATCCAGGAGCTAAGGAGGGCTAAGGAGAAGCACACAGAGCTGTAGCTCCCTGTGTGGGGAGGAGGGTGGGACTGAGTGCAAGTGGCATCTGCCTGGAATGTTCTATGCTCACTGAGGGCCCTGGCTTGACTCTGTGTTCACAAAGCCATTCATCCACTCTTCCTCCAGCCAACCAGGCTATGAAGAACCCACTGCAAATGTTTGTTGTGAAGCTTGCCATAAGTCCCCTCTTGTTAGACACATTCACTACATCCCCAGGGAGCTATGGATGAGTGAGTCTTAATGACCATCCACCTTCTCCCACTGTCTCAGACCGCTCCCTACTCTCTCTCCTTTCCTCTCAGTCCCACACCCTCCTCACTTTGAGAAATGTGCTTTGGCAAGCATTGCAGCACGTGGGTGCCAGAATCCCACATCCACTTCTCAGCAAGACCCCATGTTCTCAGGTCTATAAGGAGCCAAAAGCAATCTGGGCACCAGAAGCCCCAGCATCTTAGTCTGTTTGGCATGCTGTCTGTTTTGGAAGCTGCAAAATCCAGAAAGTAGCCAGGAGACCTGAGGTCTGGGGAGGGTTTGGTGTGGGCTCCTCTGTAGCACCTTGTCACTATTTCCTCATATGGCAGAAGAGATGGGCAAGCTCCCTCTGGCCTCCTTTATATGGGCACCAATCCACTTCTCCTTCCAAAAGTTTCTCTCCTTAATACTATCACACTAGAGACTTGCTTTCTATATGCAAATACGGAGATTGTAAACCTTCACACCACCATTCTCAATGTTCCCAGATTTTAGCCAGCGAGGCTACAACTAATAAAAGTGTGAAAGTCTTTGTCCTACCTCCTGTCCTTGAATATTATCATTTTTCATTAACATAAAATGATCCACCCACCCATCTATTTGTTCCCCAAGAAGGTGAGTGGTCCCATTTTGTAAAAATCTAGAGTGAATTTGGCCCCTGGTCCCTGGAACCTGGGCCAACAGGAGTATGTCCAGGAGGCCAGTTTCACAGTCTCTTCGGTGGTGGGTCCCCTGGAGCTCTTTTTCTTATGGTCTTCAAACACTATGATGCCTACAATTGCACACACAATCAGAGCACATTTGTGAAGGGTTCATCTCTGGAGTGTGTCCTAGAAGTGGGGCTGGGGAGTCAAGAAGGTCCAGGCATATCTAGCAGAAGAAATTCCTGTCCCCTAGCTCCTCAAGGGCTTTTCCATCCAGGGAGGTGCCCTTCCAGAATTCCCTTCACAACCTCCTGATCTCCTGACCATCCCCCACTCACCATGTATGTCCAGGTGACTCATTTTCCTTCTCATCTCATTGTTGTCCCTAAACTTTTTTTGGCCTGTCTCATATATTTTATACTATTGTGCAAAGGTGTCAAAATGTGCTCTACCTGCCTGTTTATTTTCCATCATTCAGAGGTGATATCATTCATCCCATTGGCCCCGGGACCCCTTCCATTCCTATGCCTTTGACCACCTGGTCTTCCTGGGGCACCAGTTCTTCCAGGGAGAGCATCCCCCTTCTTTCCTCCATTGCGTTTAGCTTAACCAGGGAGATTCTAGACCCTCTGGTTAAATGATGAATAATCTCTCATTGCCCGCTCTGGACACCAGGGGGCAGACAAGGATAACCTTAAACTCGAGCTAAGGGCCCGCACGGGGTAGAGGGGGCGTTTTTTTAGGCACACTGAGCAGGCTTGCACTGAGGCAAGAAAGCATTATAGAGCCCCTGAAGAAGACATGCCTCTATATTGTTTTTTCTTCCCGCAGTACCAGGGCCTTTCCAATGAACTACATCCTCAGTCTTTTGTTTTATTTTGTTTTGTTTTATTTTGTTTTGTTTTGTTTTGAGACAGGGTTTCTTTAAATTACTAAATTGCCCAAGCTGGGCTGAAATTTGCAATCTTCCTGCCTCAGTTTCCCAGAATGTTATGACTCCCAGTGTGTGCAATTATGCTCAGCATTGGTATTTGTTTGTTTGCTTGCTTGCTTGTTGAGACAGGGTCTCGCTCTGTAGTGTAGGGTGACCTTGCACTCACTATGTAACCCAGGCTAGTCTCAAACTCTCAGTGATCCTCCTGCCTCGGCCTCACGAGTACTGGGATTACAAGCATGTACCACCATGCCCAGTTCTGGCTATTTTTAATAAAGCTACTCTGCACATTTTCTGACATGTCTTTGTGTGCGTACATGCTTTCATTTTCCTGAGTGCAAAGATCTAAGAGGAACTGCTGAATCATATGACTAGTGCGTGTTTGACTTCTAAGGAGAATGCCAAACTGCCTTCACGACTGTACAATTTGTATTCCCACTGTTCATACATGAAAGTGCCACTTGACCCATATTCTTGCCAACTCTTGGATTTATGGGTCTTAAATATTATTCTATTGAATGAGTGTGAAGGGGATCTCATTGAGGTGTTTCCCTGGTCTTTTTACCTCTGCTTCCAACTTCTTCTCATTCCCTTCTCTATTTCTCTTTTCTCTCTGTCTCTTTGTCTCTCCATTTCTCTCTCTCCCTCTCCATATGAATATAGAGAAAGAGAGATAGATATAGATAGACACATCAGTCATCATTTTATGTATATAATGTTAATGTATATGTCTACTCTTTTATGTATATATGTCTACTCTTTTATGTATATAATGTTAATGTATATGTCTACTCTTACCCACAGGTAAACTGCTGAGGCTATTTCCTTCGTTCTACATTTTTACTGTTAACTTGGTCAACAAAATTGCCAGGGGCCTCCTAATGATGGTAATGTAGTCGTGAGCACATAGGGACCCTCACTCCAGCAGTGGTGGTCAGCAGCCACAAATTAGGAAGAAGCACTGTGTTGTCCAGTTAACATAAGGAGCTTGGACCATGGGCCTGAGCTGGGAGGAACTGGAGATCTCTTGGTACCAACAATCTAGAAATTGATCGGGTCGGGAGAATCAGAGGAAGAGAGAGCATCTGCCCAGGCAGGGGCTGGCACCATGACTTCAGCCACAGTGCCTTGGATGGCAGACGCTGAGTCAACAACAGGCCTTGCTGATTGGATGAGGGTTAAGGAGGGCAGTGGTCTCAGCGCACAGGTCACACAGACACAGATACGTGCTCATTGCTCCTTCCCTGGCACTGAGAAGGGACCCGGACAGCTGAGTTGTGAGACCCTGTGGGGCGCTGGAATGTAGAGGCCAAGGCCATTTGGGAGGACACTAAGGCCATCTGAGGTGAGCACGACACCCATTCCTCTGGATAGTCAGGCTGGGCAGGTGTCCCCAGACATGCTGTGCCCCCAGAGGGGCTGCTTCTCTCCACCCCTGCAGGCTCACATGCCTCAGAATCTCCTTGTGACTCCTCTTCCTTCTCTGAGGAACCTGGGATTTGGCTGCCAGTTTTCCAGTGCCAGGCCAGCATGTGTTCAAGTTGTATTTCAGCCAGGTATGCCTCATACCTGTGATCCAAGCACTGAGAGCTGCAAGGTGGGTACCAGCCTGGGCTGCATAGTAAGTTCAAGGTCAGCCTGGACAACATAATGAGACCATCGGAAAATAAGACAGAGAGACAGAGACAGAGGAAGAGGAAGGAAGGGAGATGGAGGAAAGGACGGGGAAAAAAGGAAGAGAGAGGAGGGACAGGAGGAAGGGAGAGGAAGGAGGGAGGGAGGGAAGAAGAAAGATTCATGGTTTTTGAGTTGACAGGTGACCATGAATGACCACTTCATGGAATTTTTGGGCCTGCAGAAATGCCACAGTCCCAGGTACATTTGATAGGAAGGGACAAGACTGAATTCAAGGAGGCCTTCAGAGGATCTCAGACCATGTACAGTAGAGGTTAGGGACCTTGAAGGACACCCAGTAAACTGAGTCCAGAAAGCAAGAAGGAACTTTCAGGATGAAGGGCAGAGTTACACCTCTCTGCCTTTGCTAAAAACCTTCCCTTCACCCTGATTGAAGGTCGATTCCATTCTCTGTCTGTGGGGATCCCAATCTTGTACCTCCTCAGCAAACTTTCCTGCATTCCCCAATTAAAGTTTCTATTCTGGCCTTGGGGCACCCAAGACCCTTCTCCAGCCCATGACCACAAGAACAGTGGACATAAGGGCTCCAGGTTTGAGGAGAGGATTCCTAGTATGTTGGAGATTAGATTCCAAGAAGTCAGAGGTCACAGAGCAGCCATGAGCATAGCCGTGCAGAGGTCTCCCATAGACAGACCACCCACCTCCTACCTTTCTGCTGTGGGACACCTATAGCCTCATACTTTTTCCAACAACCTATTAAAACATGGGGGACTAATACAAAGTTCTATGCATGCAGACACATTCCTCACCCAAGGAGATCAAATAGATGTATTAGAAACTGGTACTAAAATGGCATGCAGATAAAAATCTTGAGAATAAAAAGCAGTAAAGATAAAACTCAAACAAGCAGCTGAGGCATATGAAGTGTTATCAAATGCTAAAAGAAAAAGGACATCTATGACAAACATGGCAAAGAAGGATTAAACAGTGGAGGAGGAGGAGATCATTTTGACAGTCAGAAACCCAGATGATGTCTTCAGGGTATATTTTGGTGAAAGGGATATATTTTCAGTGAACTTTTTTGAAGATCAGTATGAGGAATTTTGGGGACCTGAAGGGGTCCCTGAGGAAGTAAAAGCCATGGTGCAAGCTCATTTTTCTTCACCATCAGTATATTTCCATCTTTTGGAAGTTAGTTTTCTTCATTTAATAAAGGATTTACTTCATTCGGGTCACTCACTGTGTTCTCTTCCTTATTATTTGGTGCCAGTAGAATGGGCAACTTCAAATTTCTATAAACTTCTACTAAAATAGTTAATGGCAGAAAAATCATTACAAGGGCAGATGTTGAGGCTAGCCAAGAAAGAGTAGAAATTGAAGGTAGACTGTTAAAGTCCTTAGCTATACATGATAAAAAGTAACTGCTAACTTGGAAAACAAGTAATTTAGTGAACATATTTAATGGAAACATTAAACTATAATAGGCATCATTTAAGGAGTAACAGGAGGCTGGGACTATAGCTCAGTGCCACAGGCACCTGCCTGGCAAGCGCAAGGTCCTGAGTTCAATTGCCAATAATAAAAAAAAAAGAAGTAACCAGAAATAATTTTGAAAATTTCAAACAAACTCAACTTTCAGCATAATTGTACCTCAAGTATTCAAACACAGCTCCTTGAAGCCCCCTATTTGTCATAGACTTTTGAGTTTACTATTGAGACCACACAGTAGGACCAATTTTGTCTTTAGAATTGTTGTAATCTTTGCATGCACCTTGCTTTTCTATTAAATGTAATCCAAGGTGAGCCTTGACTCTTGAGTAGCGCAAGGACAAGATTGTACTCTAACACCAGCATGGATCTGTTTTCCATTGTGTTTGAAATGTGAGCCAAGTGCTGTCAGCCTGCTCTGAAGCTAACCTTGCCAGGATGAGTCTTCTACAGAGATAATTTTAATTTTTTTTCAGTATTTAGTAATGAAAGATATTAATACATTAATTATAGTCTATTTCTGGTTTAACACTTTTAAGGATGTTTTCTAGTTGTGCATGGATGCTAGCAACTTAGTAAAATTTTGACAATTCTTTAAATATGTAATCTTAAGCCTGTTTTTAAAAGCTGGTAAACTGTGTCATTTGCTTTTTTTTAACCACTGATAATTGATTTATTAAAACAGTTGCCTTAAGCATTTGTAAATGGTGACTTCAGCCTCCCCTCCTAGCTCAGGATTAATGGGAGTAATCCTTTCAACAACTCAGGACAGTGCAGGTCAATGAGTCGCTTGTGGATCCTCATCTGGAAATGGTCCCATGTCTTAGAATCTTCACCACAAGGTGTTTTTCTTGTAGTGATTCTCGAAGTCTTAGTAGGCATGTGAACAGGTCCTTTCACCTTGAGACTCTTTTCTTTGCACCTCTGATCAAGTCAGAACACCCTTTCTTCAGGGATTTCACTTTGTGGCTGGTGAGGGTAATTCTAACTAGGTGAATCACCACCTCTGGTTCCACAGGTATCTTTCTGGTATCGTTAAAAGCCGTGGCTGTGGGGCAGCTTCTTGAATGACTCGTTCCTCCACAAAAGCAGTGACTTGAGAAAAGGATGGCTAGAAGAGAAGTCCCTGCACAACCATGGCTCTCTCAGGAACATGTTTGCTTTAGAAAGAAAGCTAGGCTAGTGGTTCATGCCTCTGATCCCAGCACTCTGGGAGGCTGAACTAAGATCACAAAGTCAAGCTCAGCCTGGGTGATTTAGTAATTTAGCAAGACCTTGCCTCAAAATAGAAAATTTAAAAAGGTTGTGGTACAATTCAGGGTGAAGGCCCTAGGTTCAATACAGTACCACCAAAAACAAACAAACAAAAAAAAAAGTGAATGTGTTTGGTGCAGTCTTTCCTGGCGGGGAGGAGGAGAACATGATGAAATTAGGAAGTGCGTTGGGAAGAGAATGAAGAAGATCAGTGCAGATGGGAAGCAGCCCTGCCTCACCCACTGGTCTCTGGCTCCCAGTGGCCTGTCCCTGCTCAGTGCAGCTCTCCTTCAGAGCTACCTCGCCCGGCCCACCCAGTACCCCGCCTACTCCCTGCTGGGTCCAAACTCCTACAGGCATGAGGCCCTGCTCCACAGCTGCTTGAAACAGATCTGCAAGCCAACTATGAGACTGGACAGATTTCATGTGTGGCTGAACGCAGTGGTCTATGGGCTCCTGCTTCTCCTTGTCCTCATTTCAGGTGAGATTCCTCCAGGGGCAACAGGGACTGGGGTTACATCCGCCAAATTCCTGGAAACAGGACCTGAGCCTGAGGGAGGGAAGCACAAAGCAGGGAGGAGCTGGTGGAGAGGACAGATGACAGAGTGGGAAATGTGGGCCCACTCAACACCCTGAGCCAGGCACTGGGCTGGGTCCCTGAAACCCAGGAGGGTCAGAGCTGCCAGAGGACACCTGTCCCTGAGTGCACAGCTGAGTAAGGACTGTGAGACATGTGGACCTCTGGGCAAGGCAACAACCTGGGCACAGGGCAGGTGGGGTGGCATTTGGAAGCTTTTCCTCCTGTGTTTATGACTGGAGCTAGTGTTTCCCACTGCTAATAACAATAAGACTCCATATTGTCATTTGTTCCTGAGTGTGTCATTCCCTTGGCCACAGGGCTCCCTGGCACTGCCCACAGGGAGACTAGACAAGGTTACTTGCAGAGACAGAAGCTCCCAGTATTGCCTCCCAAAGCTGAACTGAGAAACCACTAGGTTCCCTTCACCTTGTGCACTTTTCTCCGGAAAAAGGCATGGTTTGGCTTCCAGGGCAAAAGTGCAGCACTTTGTGCCCGTTAGGCAGTCCCCCCGGTGCTTATCAGAAACTTAGGCCAGGGGCTGGGGATTTAACTCAGCAGCAAAGCGCCTGCCTGGCAAGCGCAAGGTCGTGAGTTCGGTTCCCGGTACCGGAGAAAAAAAAACCAAAAAAAAAAAAGAAACTTAGGCCAGGTAAGCACCAAACTTGAACATGTCCTTGGCTTTCAATGCTCCCACTGATAAGGCTCCCAGTCTGGTATCTGTGGTGACTTTTTCTCAATCTAATCTTCTCAGGAGGAGTCTACATTAGCCTCACCCTCATAGCCCAACCCTGAGGGACTTTGTCCTTTACCTACCATTCCTCACCCCACCCCACCCCACCCTACTCTTGGAGGTCACCAGGATCTTCTAGACAAGAAAATCTGTCTAACTTGCAATACTAGTCTTTAAAAATAGTATTTTAGCCAAATGTGGTTGTTGGTGCTTGTAATCCTAGCACTCAGGAGGCTTGGGCAGAAGGATCTTGACCTCAAGGCAACTTAGTGAGACTCTATCTCAAAAAGCCAGAGAGAGAGAGAGAGAAAGGGAAGGCAAGATGGCAAGCAGAAAGGAAGCTGACTTGAACCCACATTCAGCTAGAACACATTTGTTCTTTGATATCCATGGGATTTTGGATCCAGGAGTGACCAACCTATACCCAAATCAGCAGATGCTCTAGTCCCTTACATAAAATTCCCAAATATCTGTATGGAACCTAAGTATGTATACTTGGAAAAAACATGAGGTTACTTTCAGTGTCTGGTACTATGTAAACAATTTTTACACTACATTACTGAGGAAATAATGACATGAAAAGTCTGTGTGTAGTCAATACAGAACCAAGTTTCTCTCTGAATCTTCTCAATCTATAAAGTAGACTGAATATGGTAATACAGGACTCATTGACATGGAAAAAAACTGTAATTCACAAGCCATAAGGGACTCAGGTGGAGAGGGGTACACCCAACCCTGGCTTTTCCATACAGAACGTCAAATTCCTCAGGACCTTACACAATTACGGCCTGTAACACTTCAGTGGTTTTTACTATATTCATACAATTCAAGATCTGAATGCCCCTTTCCTAAAACACGCCCTCAAACCTTAGCCCTAGACACCCACTAATCTGCTCTATTTGTCATACAAATAGAATCATTATGAGAGTAGAGTGACAAGGTAGGAAGAGTGTAAAGGAAGTATTTTCAGATTAGGGTCACTTGACAAAGCTGATTGAGGATGGCAAGGAAGTGGCCATGCCCACAGTGTGGGAGGAGCTGACCGGGCAGACCCAACCCTGATGTGCATCTGTCTGCCCACAGCCCAGGACTCTGCTGGCCCCATCCGGACCACGCTCACAGGGCAGGTGCGGGGCAGCCTCAGCCATGTGAAGGACAACAATGTGGGGGTCCACTCCTTCCTGGGAATTCCTTTTGCCAAGCCACCTGTAGGACCACTGCGGTTTGCACCCCCTGAGGCCCCTGAGCCCTGGAGTGGTGTGAGAGATGGGACTTCCTACCCTGCCATGTAAGCTCTCTGGGGATCTAGAGGAACTGAAGCCCTGGGCAAGAGTCAGGTGCCCTGAGCTGTAAGCCAGGCTGAAGTGGTTCTGCCATCTAAACTCCACAGCCAATTTTCTTCTGCTTGGGGGGTATTCCCATGATGAGAGTGCTGAGAGTCAAGAGTGCTGAGAGTCGAGAGGCATGGAGGAACAATGACAGGAACCTCGCTCAGGGCTTATCACCCAGAGGGCATTAGCTCCACGTGCTGAAGAGGAGCAGAGACATGTTTATCCCCAGATTCAGGTCATACCACATGTTCTTTGCAACCAGGGGAAGTATCTCTGGGAGAGGGTCTGGTTAGCTCTCTGAATTGTAAGATGCCCTGGCTCCAGTAGCACATCATGCAAGTGTCACAGGAGGAAACCTGTGGTGGCTACCTTGAGACCCAAGGAGGACAGGGGGCTGTGATACAGATGAGGGCCCTGGAGAATCTAGACTCAGCATGAGAAATATACAACTCCCCATCTGTGGAAACTAACCTCCATTCATGCCTACACCACCTATGTGGGGGTTCTGCCCAGGTTCTACCTCAGCATGAATTAGGGGACAAGCCATGACCTCCAACACCTGCAGGCAATGGTTCCCATAGAGATTCCTAAGAGTGACAATTTTCCACTTCAGGAGGAGTGGGATCTAAGGCCCTCAGCAAACTTAAGCCTTCCTAGGAGGTCTGGGCTCCATCTCGACTTCCCCCAGAACCTTCAGCCTGTGTCTTGGTGACCAGGGACTTAAGAGGAGGGTCATGTGTGAGCAGGGAATAAGGGGGAGCTGGGACCGAGTGTCTGGGAGCAAATCTGAACTCAGGGTCTGGTTTTGATCACTGGACTGACTGCTGTCATTGTTACCAGGTGTCTACAAAACATTGATAGAATGAATATATTGGCAGTGAAGGTCTTGAATCTGACAATGCCTCCCATCCCCATGTCTGAGGACTGCCTGTACCTCAATATCTACACACCTGCTCATGCCCATGAGGGCTCTAACCTACCTGTGAGTAATAAGACATGGTTGGTTGGGAGTAGGAGGGCCTTTATTCTATAAGATTTTTAAAAGGATCAAGACACATCTGGTCTGTGATACAGTGTAAATCCTGATGAGAAACCTCTCACTATAAGATTACTGAAGACCTTCTCACCCGGGTTGGGCAGCTGGCCCCTGGGCATGGAAACACAGAGGCCTAGTTGCTCCAAGGCCAGAGTCTATGGCTATTGGGTGGGCCCCGGATTCACTCAGCTAACCTGTGTCCAGAAAACACATTTTATGCCCAAGAGCTGCGCTCTGTGTCCACCAAAGACCTCAACCATTAGTTATCTGTTGGATGAATAATAGAGGACCCTTGATTAATGTTTATGTGAGATTTCAGGGTACACCCCTTTTCCTTTCACCCCTTCTAGAGGGATTCTAGGAGTAATGCAGTGAAGTTTTGAAATATGGAACTGATTCCAAATGATGACAGGCTTTATCTTCCTGATCCAAACTAGGTCTCTCACTCGTAGCCCAGATCATAGTAGCTGTTGGGGTTCTTCTTACTAGGTTGGTAGCTGCACAAGTAGAAGCAGTAGAGAGTCTAGGAGTCACCCCAGCAGGGTTTGAGCTGGGTGAGACCCATGTGGCATCTGTCTTGATTTCCCCAGGTAATGGTATGGATCCATGGTGGTGCACTGGTTATAGGTATGGCTTCCTGCTATGATGGATCCATTCTTGCAGCCTTGGAGGACATAGTAGTGGTCACTATCCAGTATCGCCTAGGTGTCCTGGGCTTCTTCAGGTAAGCCTTGGGCTGGGCTGGGAAATGGAGACTGAGCAAAGCCAGAGCAAGCCTGTGAACCCTATCCTTGCTACTTCTCAGCACTGGAGACCAGCACGCCACTGGCAACTGGGGCTACCTGGACCAAGTGGCCGCCTTACACTGGGTGCAACAGAATATCTTCTACTTTGGAGGCAACCCTGACCGTGTCACCATTTTTGGCCAGTCTGCAGGTGGCACAAGCGTGTCTTCACATATTTTATCCCCCATGTCCCAAGGACTCTTCCATGGTGCCATCATGGAGAGTGGGGTGGCTGTGGTGCCTGGCCTCATCTCCAGCTCATCTGAGGCAGTCTCCAGAGTGAGTGCTCTTAACCACCCTAGCCCAGACATCTTACCTCTCCTCTCACCTTCTGATGCTCTGGTGCTCTGTCTGTTCAGTGGGGACAACACCAGTTGAGGTCCTTTGGGACCTGACTGCAGGCTTCCCGGGAATTATTGAAGGACTCAGGGGTCAGAATCCACACAGCTCTGCCTCACAGAAGCTGAGGATGTTCTGTGGGCAGCAAAGCTGCTTCCTACATGGTGGGCAGAACCACGTAGGAAGAAGAACGGTTTGGCTGGCTGAAACCTCTAATTATCAGGGAACTCAAACAATTTCACACCTGCACAGATTTACAGAGTACACTATGAGATTAAGGGACCTCAGTGGGGTCTTAGGCATACTCCTCTCCCTGCCTGGAAGGACAAGCCTGTCCCTGCCTGGTCCCTTTACAGGTGGTGGCCAACCTGTCTGCCTGTGAGGAAGTAGACTCAGAGGCCCTGGTGCAGTGCCTGCGGGGCAAGAGTGAAGAGGAAATGCTGGATATTACCAAGGTCAGGCTGAATGGTCTTGGGCGGGATGCAAGTGGGTGATAGTATGTGGGGCAGGAAAGTCTGAGTGCCGTTCAGACTCCCAGGGACATTCTGCACATCTCCACACCATGATATTTGGTAGTCCCAGATATTAACTGGCACACTAGGCCATATAGAGTCAGGCATTGGACCTTTTAAGGTGGGCATTTGGGGAAGAGACAGGTAAGGATATGAGACACCCAGAGGACATGGGAAATTTTCTAGAACTTGACCTTAATTCCTGACCTTCATTTTTCCCTCAGACTTTCCACATCATCGCTGGTGTAGTGGATGGAAACTTCTTTCCCAGGCACCCCCAGGAGCTGCTGGCCTCTGGTGATTTTCAACCTGTCCCCAGCATCATTGGTGTCAACAATGATGAGTTTGGCTGGGTCATCCCCAAGGTGAGGTCCACCCCCAGCTCCCTGTCTCAGCAGCTCTAGGGAGATGTTAGATGTTTGTAGCTTCAAGTTCATCTACCCACAGCATGAGACTCTTCTCCCTACTACCCAGGGCATGGGCACTACTGACACCAAAAAGAAAATGGACAGAGAGACTATGAAGGCTGTTCTGCAGCACACAGCAGCACAGATGGTGAGGCTCCTGGTGGTCTGCCACAATGACTGGACAACCCTATTTCCTGCCATGCAACCACCCCCATGAATAAAGGCTGATTTATATGTGTGTTTGTGGGTGAAATCAATGCAGAGTTTGATATTTTGCTGAATTCCCAGTCCCATTCCAGACTCTATCTCCCCACCCTGGGCCTCTGTCTCCCTGCCCCAGAGCTGTATGGCCTGACTCTCCCTGGTCCCTCTGATCTAGATGTGGCCTCCTGAGTTTGGAGACCTGGTAATGGAGGAGTACATAGGAGACAGTGAAGACCCCCAGTATCTCCAAGCGCAGTTCCAAGAGATGATGGGAGATGCCATCTTTGTGATCCCTGCACTCCAAGTAGCACATTTTCAGCGTGAGTACATCCATAACTGAGGCCTTATTGCCTAGGGGCTAGCTCAGAGCTCTGGGTCCAAGATGAGTTCTCTCATGTCCATTTATTGACCCATATCTTTATCAGGTTGCTGAGCTAAGACATTTGATGTCCCTCTTTTAGGTACTTCTTGGCTGGCCAAACAAACTGACATCTACTAACTTTACAGCTGAGGAAAATGAGTTAGTAACATTCAGTTCCTTAACTAGTAACTGCACAACTAGGAATGCCAAGGCTGTGGTTTAACTAGGTCTTTCCCTAAACCCTTGTTTCAGTCTAGAGTCCCTCCCCCATTGTGCAAAATCCAGCCAGCATTAAACAAGGTGTCTTGTCACCAAGGAGAGGCAGAAGAGCTCTAGGGGAGGGGCTACCATGTCATAGCCTGTCCACATCCCCAGGTTCCCATGGCAGAGTCTACTTGTATGAGTTCCAGCATCGGCCTAACTTCCTCAAATACTCCAAGCCACCCCATGTGAAGGCTGACCATTGCGATGAGATGTTCTTTGTCTTTGGATCCTTGTTCTGGAATAATAAACGTGAGTTTTCCCTAATCTTCAAGAGATGGGATTGGGCCATAGCTGGGTCCCTGAAGAGTAACTGCTCTCACTTTTCAGAGGTTCAGAGAGAAAAGGATTAGGTGTCCACTATACTATAATTCAGTCTGTGCCAGGATTAAAATCTAAACCCCTTCCACTCTGGCCTCTGTCATCTCCATTTGTCCCCAGCATATTTTCAGGGAGGATGAAATCTTGAAGGAAGAAGGGTCCTTCTAGGCACCCTGGTCAGTGGAATCCATGTTAATGAGTATGTGGGTACTTGTCTTCCTCTCTGAAGTTGACCTCACCGAGGAAGAGGAGCTACTGAGCAAGAGGATGATGAAGTATTGGACCAACTTTGCTCGAAATGGGTGAGAGGATGCCCCCCTGCCTCAACCTTCCCAGGGTGTGTGAACCTATCAGACTCTCTCCTTGTCTGTGGTGGCTTCATTAGCATATTTGTGTCCTTACTCAGATGATAAAAGCCTCCCCACTCCAGGACTGACATAGACATAGGCAGAGAAGGACTTTGTGGGTGCCAATCACTTATCCCTCTGCCAATAACCTACAGAGGGGGCCACAGTGCCACGGTACTGTCACAGCCTGCCTCTGAGAAGGTGGGTGAAAACAGGGCCATTCCCCTGCTCCAAATAAAGGGAACCCTAGAAGGAAGTCCTTGTATTCATATATCTGGAAATCTCCTGCTCATCATCCCAGTTCCGTGGCCAACTTGGCTACCTGGCCAAATCAGGCCTCTAAGGTCTGGGCTCTGCAGGGCTCAGACTGACCTCTCCTCCCATGTTGGGAGGTGTGTCCACAGGAACCCCAATGGCCAGGGCCTGCCCCACTGGCCTGCACTGGACCATGAAGAGCTGTACCTGCAGCTGGACCTCCAGCCTGCTGTGGACCGTGCCCTGAAGGCCTCCAGGATGAAGTTCTGGACAGAGATCCTTCCCCAGAAGATCCAGGAGCTAAAGAGAGCTGAGGAGAAGCACACAGAGCTGTAGCTCCCCATGTGGGAAGAGCGGGTGGTCTTGAATGAAAGTGAGGTTTGCCTCTGGTATCACAAGCCTACTGAGGAGCCTGGATTGCCTCCACATTCACACAACTATTCATCCTCTTTGTCCCTCCACTCAGCCGACACTCAGGAAGAACCCACTGCATAATGCTCATTGCCAAGCCTGCAGTATGTCTCCTCTTGTCAGACACTCAGTACATTCCAAAGAAGCTGTGGGTGGGTAAGTCCCAATGGATGCCACCTTCCTCCACACCCACTGAGCTGGGCCCCTTCTCCCTTCCTCAGCTCACCTTTTCTCTACCTTATCTTTCTTCCCCTCCCAGGGTGACATCTTCCCCTCTTTAAGAAAGGTGCTCTGGGAATACTGCTCTCACCCACATGTCAGAACCCCACATCCACCTCTCAGCAAGGGCCCATAGTCTCAGATCTATAAATTGCTAATAGGAAATCTAGATACCAGAAGCCCCAGTGTCTTAGTATGTTTAGGATACTAATTTTTAAAAAGCATGAGCATGATAATCTGTTTGGCAGAAGTTAATTGCTCTCAGTTTTGGAAGTTGCAAAGTCCAGGAAAGGTGCCAGCAAATTTGGTATCTGGTGTGGGTCTGCTTTCTGGCTTTTCAAGAGTAACTTGTCACTATTCCCCCATGTGACAGAAGAGGCCACAGAGCTCTCTCAGGCCTCTTTTATATGAGCACCAATCCCATCCCTCTCCCAAAGACTTCCCTCCTTCATATCATCACACTGGAAACTGGTATCTATATGTGACCATCTAGGAGGTAAACCTTCAAACCACCACACGTAATACTCCCAAATCTTAGCTACTGAGGCTATTACTAATAAAAATGTGGAAGTCTCTGCACCCAGTTCTTACCCTTGTAGACTAAAGTTTTTAATTAACATAAAACAACTCACTTACTCATCTCACCAAAGAGGTGTGTGGTCCCATTTTGTGAGGACAACACTGAGCATGGACCCCAGAGTCTGTGCCGTCAGGAGTGTGTCCAGGAGGCCAGTTTCCTCAGTGGCTTGTCTCCTGAGTTTGCTCTTTATATCTTATTCTGCAAGTACTCTAAGGCCTACAACTACACAATTATAGCACATGTGTGAAAGGTTATGTCTCCGGGGTATATTCTAGAACTGGACTGTAAAGTCAAGAAGTTCCAGATATGTCTTGTAGAAGAGATTCCTGTCATTGCCTCCCTGAAGGCTTTTCTATCCAGGAAGGTATCCCCCTGCTTTTCAGAATTCCCCTTGAAACCTCCTGAGACTCTGAACATCCCCTACTCACCATGGGTATCCATGGGATTCATTTTTCTTCTCACCGCATTGTTGTCCCTAAACACTTTTTGGCCCCTCCAAGAAAAACCCTCTCTTGTGTTTTATTTTAGCTCATTGTGAAAGATGCCAAAGTGTGCTCAACCTGCCTCTTTGTTCCCCCAATGCATTTTCTCTCTGTCATTAAGAAGCTATTTCACTTATTCCACTGATTCTGACATCCACTCCATTCCCTTACCTTTGACCAGCTTGTTCTGGGACACCAGTTTTTCCAGGAAGAGCATCCCTGTTCTTTCCTCCACTGCATTTAAGCTTACTAAAGGGACTTTCAAGTCTAAACCCTTGGGTTGAGGAACACTTTCACATTGTCCACTCTGGGCACCAGGAGGCAAACCAGGACAACCTTAAATTGGGCTGACCCACTTAGCAGAGGGTAGAGACCTTCCTTTTAGGCTTACTGGCCCACATGCCCATAGTGCTCCACTGTGAAGGGAAACCCTTACAGAGCCTCTGATGCAAGCAGACCTCTGTATGGTTTTCAGGCTGCAGCTACCCAGGACAATCCCACAAGGTAGCTTGCCTGATATTTTCAACTATAAAGAGTTATCTTATTTTTTTAAAGCTATATTGTGGAGTAATTTACATACAGTTAAATTCACACATTTTCACTGCATAGTTTAGCAAATTTGAGTAAATGCATGGGGCATCCAACCACTGAAACATCAAATATAAGGATGTTTCTTTCGCCCCAAAAACATTCCTGTGCTCTTTTGCAAAGTCAGTCATTGCCTTGGATCCTTCTCCGTAGCAACCAATTGATTTCTGCTGCTGTAGTTTGCCTTTGCTTAAATATCACATAGAAGAAATAATTGTGACTGACTGTCATTTTGTTTAATGTTTCTCAATGTCAAGCTGTATTTGTTTCCTTTTATTTTGGAGCAACATCCATGTACGGATATACCAATCATATTTTTTCCCTCAGTACTAGGAACTAAACTCAGGAGTCCAAGTGTTAGTGAGAATATGGGTCTTAAATCTGATTCTATTTGAAAATGTGTGGTGAGATCTCATTGCAGATGTTTCCCTGGCTTCTTCACCTCTGCTTGCACCTTCCTCTTCTCACTGTTCCTCTCTCTGTGTGTTTCCCTGTTTCTGTTTCTCTGTCTCTCTGTCTCTTTGTCATTCTCTCTCTCTTCCTCCCTCCATCTACATGACTATATATATATATAATGTATATATTTATACATTTATATATAAAATGTGTGTGTATATGTATTACATATATATATAATGTATGTATATAATCACTTACACACCCCAATCCCGACGAGTAGGCTGCTGAGGTTCTTATTTCCTTCATTCCATATTTTACCATTACCTTGGTCAATAAAACTTCCAGGTTTCCCAGTGATGGGTGAAGTAGTGGCAGAGCACATAGGGACCTTCACTCACCCCAGTAGAGGCAGTCAGCAGCCCTGGATTAGGAAGAAGCACTGTGTTGTCCAGTTAACATGAGGAGCTTGGACCATGAGCCTGAGCTGGGAGATGAAGGAGATCTCTCGGCACCAACAACCTAGAAACTGATCAGGTCGGGAGAATGAGAGGAAAAGAGAGCATCTGCCCAGGCAGGGGCTGGGGCCATGACTTCAGCCACAGTGCCTTGGATGACAGACATTGAGTCAACAACAGGCTGATTGGATGAGGGTTGAGGAGGGCAGTGGTCTCAGCGCACAGGTCACACAGGCACAGATACGTGCTCATTGCTCCCTCCCTGGCACTGAGAAGGGACCCGGACAGCTGAGTTGTGAGACCCCGTGGGGCACTGGAATGTAGAGACCAAGGCCATTTGGGGGGACATTAAGGCCATCTGAGGTGAGCGTGACACCCATTCCTCCGGGTATCAGGCTGGGTAGGCGCCCCCAGACCTAGGCTGCTTCTCTCCACCCCTGCAGTCTCATAATGCCTCAGAATCTTCTCAATCTCTCTTCCTTCCCTGAGAACTGAAGGCCTAGGAGTTGGCTGTCAGTTCCCCAGCACGAGGCCAGCACACATTCAATTCATGTTTCTATAGTTAATAATTGACTGTGAACTTGATCTCGGTCATGGGCTGAAGGAGAACAGAAATGCCACAGTCGTATGTATGTTTCAAAAAAAGAACCAAAAGAAATATTTTTAATTACAAACATCAAGCCAGGACCAAGCCTGAAGGCTTTTCTATCCAGGAAGTTATCCTCCTGCCTTTCAGAATACCTCCTGAAACCTCCTGAGACCACTCCCAGGGCCACATGTAAAGGGAAGCATACATGGGACCTCACACAGGAATATATATAAACAAACTCTTAAAGGGGCCCCAGTGAAGTGTAGGTCCTGAGAAGGAGCTTTCAGGATGAACAGTGCGATCGCATATTCCTGCCTTTGTTCAAGCGGTGCCCTCCACTGTCGTCAAAGAACATTCTCACTCCCCATCTGTGGGCGTCCTCATCCTATACCTCTTCAGAGAAGCACTCCTGGCTTTTCCAGTTATATCTTTCTGCTCCCTCCTCTCTACCCCAACACTGCCCTTGGGTCTGTGACTGCAAGAACAATGGACACAGTGACTCTAGGTTTAAAGAAAGGTTCCTGGTATCTTGGTGGGGCTGTAGTAGGCACACAGCTATTTAGAAGACAAAAATGGCAGTGTAATGGGGGACATGACCATGACCACAACCTCTGGAATGACCACAACCTAAAGGCCTTTGACCTTTTAGTTCCATTCTCCTGCCAGACTCACCTTTCCCAGCCCCATTAGACCTTGGCCGTTAGGTCGGGGCAAAGGCAACTTTTGAGAGAAATTGGCAGGAAAGAAAGTGGAGACAGCACTAGAAGAGGATGTTTGTGGTGCTATAAACAAGAGCAGAAAAATACAGGAACAGCTAGAGGAGAAAATGGGTCAAGGGTAATTTTCTGGTGTCCCATTTATGTATTTATTCATCTATTTATTGGCTTTTTGAGATAGGTTCTCACTATGTAGTTCAGACTGGGCTTGAACTCACTATGTATCCCAGACTGACCTTGCATTTGCAACAACCTTGAATTTGCAAGATGCCTTAGCCTCCCAAGTGCTGAGATTACAAGCTTGCATCACCACTTCTAGTGTTGCTTTTAGGTGGGAAGTATTTGCAGCTGATGGGAGGCATACAAAACTGGTAGTGCAGAAGAAATAGTCCCAAGGAAGTAGGAAGGGACCAATCTGGTGTCCTTGACCTGGGGTTCATTGTCTTAGATTCAGGTGTCAGATCTGGGACTGAGATGATACAAATGGGCTGATTGTTATGGTATATGCCTATAATCCAAGTGTTCTGGGAAGCAGAGGCAGAAGGATCACAAATTTACACCCATCCTGGATAGCTTAGTGTGACTTATCTCATAATAAAAAATAAAGGACAAGGGATATAGTTCAGTGATGGAGTGCTTTCCTAGAATTCACGGACCCTGGGTTCAATCCTCAGTACCGCAAAAATGAAAGAAAGGAAGAAAAAGAAAGGAAGGAAGGAAGGAAGGAAGGGAGGGAGGAAGGGAGGGAGGGAGGGAGGGATGCAATTCAGTGTGAAGGCTCTGTGTTCAATCCCCAGTAGCCCCTCCCATGCTTATCTGTTCAGGATAACAGAAAAGATGCCCCACAGGCATTTCGGCCTCCTGGTGTGTGGCCCTCTTCTTACTGACTGAGGCCTAAAAGTGCTCTTCTTTTTAATAACTAGGCCAGGTTGTTCCCTAGGCTCCTTGGGCACAGCCACCCTCAGATTTTAATTTCTGATAATATTACCAATTGGCTGAGGGTTATTTTGTTCCATTCAGATGGAAATCATAAATCTGCAAAGTGCAAATCTGCTAGTGGCTCTGATACCATTGGATGACACCTGATAATGCTAGATGAAACTCTGACAGGTGCTAGTCTCTGTGGCTGATCTTCACTAGCTGTTGGTCTCTGGATCTCCTTAGGGCTGACAGCACTTGGCATTTATTGCCCTTTCTTTGAAATGATTCACCTGTCCACACTATTTGGGATGAGAATCCTGAGTAGATTTATAGGTCCTTCAGAGCCCAGATCCCCAAGAAATAAATGATGAGCAGATTTACAGGGCCAGATAGAGTCTTTATTTTAACAGGACCTGTGGGATAGCACAGGAGGGTCAGTATAGCAGAGGGAGCTTGGAAAACTAGCTAGACAGATGTGAGGGGAATGCTGCTTATATAGCAGCTGGGGATCTGTAATTGGTCCAAGTACAGGCCTGTGAATGGTTCAAGTGGGGTGAGGCTCCAGAACAGCAGCTGTCATGAGACATTCAATAAGAGGACAGGGCAACATCAGCTCTTTGATTGACAGCTATCAGTCTCTGAGGAAAAATGACTGGGCTAAAACCAGATAATCTTCTGGAGGGCTAGCTGTCTTTATTGTAGCTTATTGAGGTGTGGGAAGTTTGGTGTTGTTATAATGGAGCCAGGTCTCTTCCTCCCTGATTTTAGCCATGTTAGAGTGGTTCCCCTCCCCCACCTTCTTCAAAGAGGCAGCAGCAGTAACAGAAATGCTGGGAGTAAGAGAAGGCACCATGGCTGATAACTGAGCTGCACTCTTGTCCAAATGGCCAGGAAGAGAGTGTATTCTAAGTAACCAGGGAGGACACTGAGGCAAGTTGCCCACATCTCTTGAGGGGCAAGGTGAGAAAGAGCTAAAGGAAATGGGTGTGGAGCCTGACAGCCATTGGATAAACCATGCCCCTCTGTGGCTGGCACAGGAAAAGGGGAAACTCAGGCTCTTCTCTGTCCCATTTTACTATGACCTCCTCCACAGCTCTTTGCAGCTGTGGTCCAGCAGCCCATGTCACTCATGCCAATGAAGATGTGTGCACATAGTACAGATTCTGAGGATATTCAGAATGCAAAAGTTATAAGGTGTTGGCCACTTCCTTCAAGATTTCAAAGGAAAGCCTTTGAGGTCAGGCAGAAGTGTGCTACAGGTCCAAGTCCCTGAAGGCAGTCCCTAGTATGGCAATGTCTAATGGGGCTATGAGGTGGAATCAAAGAGGGGATCCCAGAAAGGCCAAGAAAACAGCAGTGTGGCACAGCAGCCTTGGAAAGCAGCAGGCATCAGCCCATGGGTCAGCAAAGCTGTAAGCCTTGGGGACCCACACCTTGCCTCATTGTGCACAAGGGGTGAACTTGAACATTTAGAATTTAATGTTGGCCCTGCTGGTTTTTGGTCTGGCTTTGGGACAATTGCTCCTTTCGACTTACCTGTTGCTCCCTTTTGGAATAGCAGTGTTTACCCTCTTCCTGTCCTACCATTTATCTTGTAAGTGTAGACTTAATTTCTGTCTTTGATATTCTTATTTTATAGGGACTAAAAGCTGAAAACTTTTGCCTACAGTTTTAGAGGAGACTTTGTGCTTGGACTTTTGAATGATATGGGACTAAGTTAAGACTTGGGACTACTGGGGATGGGAATTCATCTTGCATTGTAAGAGCCTGAAGTTTGGGATGAGAGATGGAATAGTATAGTGTGGATACTGTTTGTCTCCACAAAGTTTTATATGTTAAAATCTGGATCCTTAGGGTGGCAATGGGAGGTGGTGAATCTTTGAAAGGTGGAGCTGGTAGGAGGTCCGTAGGTCGTTAGAGGTGTGTCCTTGGAAAGGACAGCCTCTCCCAAATTCCTATTCTTTGAAATATGATCTTTGCCTCCTGCATGCATTTCTACTACTCACTATTAGAGCTGAGCTGATCCTGGTGTCATGCCTTTGAATCTCCAGAATGGTAAGCTAAATAAATTCCTTTTCTTTATAAAGTTAGCCTGCCTCCCTACAAGGTGCTCATTTCAACTTCTGCAGCTTCTACTCAGAGTCAGCTGTGAGGAGCAGGGGACAACAATGAAAGCTGGGTCTGGTGTCCCCGTCTGGGTAGCCTGTCTGCTCTTGACATTTCCTGCCATAGCTACTGGTAAGACACATGCACTTTGTTCACAAGGGTGGGAGCTTCTGGGTCAGTTAGAGGACTGGGTGGGCAGAGGTAAGAGAGATAGGGACAGGGAGGGGTAGGCAGCTTGCTCATGGAAGAGGTCTAATTTGGAGGAATGACAAGGATTGCACACCCTCTCTGGGCCAAGGCTCTGCCTTTGCTCTCTGTGTGATCCCCAGGGTAGCCCTTTCCAGGGATATAATTGCCTTTATCTTTTAGGAGGACCCAGGATGTATATTAATCAGGTATGGTAAGATAAGCAGATAGACAAAGGTCTACCACAGTGAAAGAAGTATACTCAGTACCTTGGAAACAGGAGGCACCTCATACCCCACAAGGCCACAGAGGGAAAGCTACCAAGTGGCAGTGGGAACAAGGGGGAAATGTGGGCAGAAAGGTTTATTAATGTTTCCACAGGCAGGAATAGGGGAAGCAGGCTAAGCAGATTTAGCATTGACTGCCTTGAATAATATCAGAGGGTTTGGGGATGAGGGCTGTACCTAGTCACCTGGTTGCTGGCCCTGGGGTGATCAAGACTGGTAGATAGTAGCCAGGCATGTGAGATGGGCTGGAGTGTGGCCCTAGCTCACCTCAAATGCGAATGCCTTGTTTTGGCTATCCCTGGGAGGGTTACCAGGCTCCAGATGTCACAGAATCAGAATACAGAGAGTAAAGATAGGATTATTATACCTTATAGAGCAGAGGAGTCATCTGAGCTTCAAGTAGGTAGTGGCTGACCCAAGTCCCCAGGCCCCACAGCAGATTGGGTTTGGCTGAAGGGGCTGGGGGTGATGCCAAGGCAGGGACAAAAAAGTCAGAGGAGTCACAGGGCCCAGCTCACAGGCTTTCTGAGGAGGCTAGCAAGGTTCTGTGCCGAAAGTGCTCAAAACAAAACCTGGCAGAATAGACACCCAGAGAGCAAATGTGGCCTTCATTATGAGAGTCTGTCTTCCACCCTTACCATCATAGAGGCTGAAAACTCACCCTACGGTCCTCTGTCCTGCCCTCAGAGACCCAAATCACTCAGCCGGAAGTGGACACCCCCCTGGGCTGTGTGCGAGGCCGGCAGGTGGGCGTGAAGGGCATAGACCACCTTGTGAATGTCTTCCTGGGCATCCCATTTGCGCAGCCACCCCTGGGACCTCTCAGGTTCTCCGCCCCGCTGCCAGCACAGCCCTGGGAAGGTGTGCGAGATGCCAGCACTGACCCCCCAATGTGAGTAGCCTGGATGGGGGTGGACAAGCAAGCAGTTTGGGGGTCAGATGGTCTAGCTGCCAACATGGGTGGGGCAGACCAATTATCCTTTGGTTCCTTCTTGACTGCAGGTGCATGCAGGACATAGAGAGAATGAACAATAGCAGATTCTCACTCAATGGAAAGCATCAAATCTTCTCTATTTCTGAGGACTGCCTGGTCCTCAACATCTACAGCCCAGCTAAGGCCACTACAAAGGCCAGGAAGCCGGTATACAGATCAGAGGGGCCTGTTCACCTATTCAGCTCCACCCTGCCCTTTTCTCTCTCCCCATCCCTATTCCCAAACCACTCCAGGGGTCCTAAAAATTCCCTGGGCTGGTAGATGGGCAGCTGGGGCCCTGGAAACTGGGGGTCACTGTCCTATGGCCACCTCTGCAGGTCATGGTGTGGATCCACGGAGGTTCATTGATGGTAGGCTCCGCCACCTCTCAGGATGGATCAGCCCTGGCTGCCTATGAGGATGTGGTAGTGGTCACAGTTCAGTACCGCCTTGGGATCCTTGGCTTCTTCAGGTGACACAGCCAGCCTGGCAGAAGGCTAACTTCCAAAAAAAAA